GTATTTGTACAATTTGTTTGCGTTCCCTTCAACAGTTGTGTACGAAAAATAGACAGCTTTTCATCAAGTTCGGGTCACATGGGGGTGGATGATACCACTCATTTTGCGACAACTGTATCGGCAGGCATTTTTGATAAGCAATTAGTACATAATTTTACATGGGGCTCTCCAGGAGTCTGGTGTGGTAAAAAAAAAACAACTTCTTATTGTCTGCAACAACGTACAACAAAGCGATGAAAGGGGTTAAATTTGCTCCGTAAGTTATTACTGAGAACAAAACTTTTTATCGGCCCAAACATTGTAGCTCCTAAATGAGAGCCTGTGTCTTATCTAAACTGCGCAATATTATACCTTCATCGTTTTCACTCTTAGCCCTTTTAGGTTTTAATAAACTAACGATCTCATGATGATATAAGTTACATTATATTTGTCTTCTGCATTACAACGTAACAGCTACTAGCCTGATGTAACATTTCAATTATTAGTACTGTATGATAGTGCTATACCTTAACTTTTATCTTCGAAAGGAAACTTAGGAAAAGTAAAATTGCTTCATTCCGCCTCAGTTATCTTTTGTTGTATGCAGGGTACGTGCTTGTAAACTTACAACATTAGCTTTTTCTGAATTACTACTCTAATGACGGCCAAGTCACAATTTAAGTAACAAGTAAGTGACAAGTATGCATCAAAATGCAAAAAAGGTTAATAGGTTTCAGCGATCAGTCAATTTAATTGCTTACTCAAAGAAACCTGATGGCAGAAGACTGTTTTATTTAATGTTTGTCTTAGCAACCCAAAAATGCATTGTGTAGCTCATTTGTCTTGACATAAGGAGGCTGTCGATAGATGATGTTAATTCAAAAACCTGATGGTCTCTTTTCCCTTTGAAACACGGCGGCCAGAGAATAAACTAAGGTGTTAGTACAGCCGGCTACGGACTGTGAATAAAATGCAGTCTTCGAAATGATATGAAACTTTTTCGCCTGTGTATATAGCCAGCCCCTCCCCTCAGAAGAAATCGGAGGGGAGGGCTTTTAAAAAAACTCCAGGGCGGGAATGGCTGCATACACAGGCTAGAAAGTTGACAGTTTTACATCTTATATTCATTTGATTTTACAGCTATAAAATGCCTTCCATGCAGGAGTTTTTTTAATTCTTTAATCACAGGTAGCCGAGTCGCGAGTGACAGTGACTGTTTATTGTTAAGGTTTTGCATGGGGGTTTTAAAGTGATTGTTTTTAAGTAGTCCGAAATATTCAGGAAAAAAATTTAAACGGACAGGTTCACGGTTAAGCGCATGCTCATTAATTAAATTCCTTTTTTCCAATTTATGATTAATTCTACCGGTTAATAACCCCACTCACATGTATCTCAGCGATCTCAAAGAGTATTTCAAAGTAGGAAGTGTATTTCAGAGTAACTAAAGTGGGATGGAGGAATACTAAAATCGGAAAAAACATCAGTGGATTCAGTAGTGCCAACACTACCAACGATGAATTTATTGTTGACCCGAAGGTTTTATTCCATGGTTGGTTAATTTACAGCTATTTGCAAATATTTAAGTTGATTAAGTGCAAGTGACTGCCAGGGGAGTGTGCAGATTGGTTCTTTGACAACATTATGACATGATCATATTGCATGCGTAAACGATACAACATGTCCCGGCAGAAAAACAGCATTTTGATGAATGAGCATGCGCTGACCTGTCAACCTGTCCCTTTAAAATGCCTTCCCTTGTCTCCGTGTTATATTTATATGGTGTTCTTTACATTATATTTTTTTGCATTGATTCCAGCAAGAACCGTCTAATTAGGTCACGACAACGATTGCTACTCGTTGTAATTTGTTGGTTTGTTTGTTTGCATCTTTCTAAAAAATTTAAATAAATAAAACCATTAACATCACAGAAGGATGAAACGTACATTCCCATACTCGCCCCGAATACTAATTATTTGGTACAATCTAGTACCCAGAGACTCCTGGCTATTTTGTAGGCCCCGCTGACCAAAAACCCATAAGACAAACAAGAAGACCACTCTGGGAGGATGGGTGTTTTTGGCACGTTTTATTTAACCTGTGCGGTGACCAACGGTGGCCGATTCATAATCAGTTGTCGGGAGCGGCATAAATTCAATTTTTAAATGACTTCTCGTCAAAATGATGTTAACCCTATTCAGACCAGACGGGTTTCCCCCATCGCGAGAAAACTGAATAACTTCAAAACCGTTCAAACTATGACCACCAAACTTAGCAAATTTTCCTAAAAAATTTCTGGGAACATTTTTAAGTCATCGTGACGTCTACGTCGATAATAATAATAATAATAATAATAATAATAATATTTTATTACTTGGTACTGGTGCGCATTTCAAACTATTAAAATTAAACATGCATATATCTGTAAATGACCCATTACTTACTTATTTACACTGAACTTATTACTAAAAAATAATTATAAATAAAAGAAATTGTATAGGTTTCATGAAAAATAACAAAAAAGAGAGTAAAATTTATATACACCTATGTTTAGTTAAAAATTGTATGCAAGTTTAAAAATTAGAAGTCTTAAACTGTTTCTTATAAAATATGATAATTATCCTGTTTCCTAACGCCCTTCGGTAGAGTGTTCCACATTCTAGGGGCGACTATTTTGAAAGCCCTGTCTCCGGGTGCTCTATAGTCCTCAAGACGTAACCATGGCAATCGAGTTTGACAGCCATGTATTTCATTCAGCGAATTATTAGATCACACTTAATTTAGCATTATTCTATCATGAGATTGTTATTATAACTGTTGAAGATTAGTGATTAGTGATTAGTTTGAGAAAAAAATGAGTTTAATATGACCAAATGGCTGATGCTGTTATTTCTCTCGGAATTTCTATATTTTGCAGTATTTGTTGCTTTCTATAAGCATCTTTTTAATACTCAGATCAAGTTTTCTATTTAAGAATTCGTCGATTTATACGAGTATTATGTAAAATGGAATACATTCAAAGATGGCGAATGCCTGTTCCAGTTCCCTTTTTAGTAATAAATGGCGTCATCATGACATCACTGTTATTGTTTTAAAAAAATCATTCTTATGTTAGCCATCTTCTTGATTCATCAAACACGTTTCCATCCAAATATTTTTCGCTTTAAAAATTGTCTACTTTGAGAGAAATTTGGATTCTGCTAATAAATTTAACAATATGACGTTATTCTAATTTTCAGTTGTCATTTCTACGTCTGGTTTTGCCATTTAAATTATCTTCTTAATCTTCTGCCATCAGGAACAGCTGTCTAATGCATGACTGTAATTTAGTAATAGGAAAAGATGAATGTAGCGCTTTTCTGTGCTGAATAAGTTCTGTCCAATCAGCTGGCCTTTATCAGAAGGCTTACGCACCTAAGTACTTAAACAGCGATGATGAGGTGTGCTTGTCGCTTGGATAATAAAAAATCACAATTTATGTTTTTAGCAATGGCACAGCGCTCTATAACTAGAAATGTTAAATATCCTTCAGTAGATAGATACAACTGTCAGGCCTGGTTTTAAGACAATGGCATAAAGCTTTAATATGGACCAAAGCAATTTCATTGTAATTATAGAGGATGTTATTCTAAAAATTTTGAAAAAAAAAACTGCAGTTCAAATACAACCTTTCACATGTTAAAAGCCTTTCACATGTTCCGTCCACAGTTCTCTCTACAAACTGCCGTACATCCGTATTCAATTATTTGTCTATTTTTCAACCTTCAATCGCAATCTTCAGAAATTTAGTCCTGTTTAATAAAAAATAATTAAATTCTATTGGGAGAGACTGACATAATTAAACGTTTTTTCTTTAGTGTTTTTTGAAAACGAAACTGGTAGCCTTTAACGTGAAATGAACGCACCTGAATTATTAGACGATCGACTGTAATCTTCCCAAACAAGCTTGACGATATGTTCTTGATCTTTCACATGTACGTACGCCGTGGCGTGGTGAAAATTTCTTAATTTTATTGTTTGTTAATAATCACGTTCCCAGCTTATAGTCAGGTGTGTTTTTCACTCGAAGTCGTTATAAATCCTAACTAATGAAATTCCTCACGGAAAAAAATCTAATACAAATAGTTTAACGTTTGGTTTTAAACGATTAAAACTAAAAGTCGTAACAAAAATATAAAATAAAATTGACTTAGAGCATAATTATGTCATTTATTCTCTTTATCTCGCCTCATTGTTTTCGTGATATCCGTTTTCATATTTCTTAAGAATAAAAATTAACATTTAATTAACACTTATTTTCTAATGAGGTTTTATAGTTACATTTTTCCGGTCGTTTGTGTTTACACAATTTGAAAAAATCTTTTACAAAGCTACGCACTTCATCTGTAACTAGATGAAAAGTCACAGGTAAACTACTAATAGCTATGTTATGCTCTCCATCTTTAAACCAAAAGGAAGATCAGATGCGAATTCTTTCACTTGAAAAAAAAGAAGTCAAACATTTAAACAATTTCAGTTTTATCAGTTTTATTTTACCTTCCTTTATCATACAACGTGCACAATTCAGCTTTTAAACGAGGCAGGGCAATGTTATCAGTGTATTTTCGCCAGCTGTATAAGCAGGTAAACTTCTTTCAGTTTTTTTTGTGTGCGTGACTTAAAAGAAAACCAACAGTTTGCTTCCTTTAATACACTTTTATCCTTATTCTTGTCCTTTCATCTTCGTTTTTAGCCAGTCTAACCTCTTCAACCTATACAATTTTTTAAATCCTGACACACCGGAACTCGTACCACCTACATTGATTTCTCGTAATGATAAAGACAAACGGCAGAAGGAAGAGAGGACAATAGGAATTAACGATGAGTGATAGACAAGTTTGAGATATATAATTTACACTTAAAATGTTTATCTTTTCATCCTTTTTAAGGGCTGCTCTATAAAACCCCAATCTTCAGCTTCCTTGCTATCATGAACGATTGATATTGAGTCAAATATCAGACAAGTCGTCCGATATCGAGAATAACTCTAGGGGATCAAGACTTCGACAAAGTAAAGGAAAAGTCATTTGTCATCTTTAAGGTATTTTTTATTCATTTTTTTTTTTATTTTGTTTCGTTCATTTCTGAGATGGAGAGTTAACTTATTTTGCGTTTAATGTACGGGAAAAATGACTATCAGTAATTATTTTAAAATAACAGCAAACAGCGAAACATTTAACGTTAATAAGCTCTCCCAAACGATTCCTGAGCTGAATTTGATTATAAGCCACAAACTAAAATTTGACAACAAAAATATTCAAAGGTCAAAGTCATGTTCTGTGTCACCTTTTCAGTAACTTTAAAAGGGAGCAAAAGGTAAAAACTGGGTTTTTCAGTTTGGCACTGAATTTTGTCGGAAGAAAATTTTGATGGATAAAAGGGCAATCACATTGTCTCTCATTGTACCATAATTTGAGTTTTTCAAACCTCACTCGTTATTGGGTCTAATAGAGCCTTGGGGTGGTTTCTATAATAAGAGGACATTCGAATTATCATTGCAACCATTCCAAACAAAATGCTTAGTTCCATCTAACCTTTGTTCCATCTATTCGTTTAATTATCATTAAAGCTTATATACTTAACCTTCGGTAGAAACAATTTCATTTGCTCTATTGCTATATCATTTATTATCTTCAATTCTCAATCATTGATCCTAGTTTGATTTTCCTTCCGTGACGCACAAAAAAATCTCCAAAAAATAATTGAAATTATTTTCTTTCGGACAAATGTTGAAACACAAATCAAACAAAATTGATATATTAATGATGTAGACAGACTCGAGAAAGAACTAAACAACACTCCATGAATGAGCCCACTTGCCGATAAAATTTGTCGGTTAAGTTTTCGAATGGAATCTTTGTCAAAAGAAATTATAGAAACCTACAGTATATTCAGCATTTTGTTGTGACAATCTTTTCTTCTCCGCATTTGCATCTTACACTTCTTAAATTGAAACATTTGAGCGTTGCTTTTATGTTCAAATGGAGTAGAAAAGTGTCTTTTTTAATTACTCTTTTGATACATACTTATAATGTCATTAAACAGTTTGCAAGGAACCAATAGAAAAAAGTTAATATTTCCACACTGTTTGCTAATTAATCCAAACAAAAACTTAAGGCACACTCATTCATGTCAGATGTTTAAATAATAATGTTGTCCACTTTATTATTTTGTTTTTACTTTGTTTCTATTCAATACCGTCAGAAAAAAAGAGAGACCTGTTAACAAAAACAGCTGATGACATGATAGCAAAATCAGATTTTTCTTCTGCAGTAATACGAGCAAACTATGATTCTGTGAAATTTTCGGGCGTTTAAGGAGCGAAATACCAGCCAGCTAAACATCAAAATAAAACCTGGAAAACGTTTGGTTAGTGAAGTAAAAGGTGGACTGCTTTTCTCAAAATTGTTGCCTGCTTATCACCGTAAACAGCCGCTTATAAGATCCCCCATCCCCCAATTATAAACCCTCCAGTTATAGGCTCATCTACCCGTAAACAATGAAATTACATCCAATCATAAGTCATCCGGATATATCCCCCCTCTTGCTGGTATTGAAATGGATTCGATTCATTATGACGTTTTGAAACCTAATTAAAAACCAGTAAATACAAAACGTATTTTGATCAGCACTGTCATAGCTTGTTTAAAAACGCTTTTTGAAGTTCCCTCGGATATAGCCCACTCCGTTTTTAAGCTCGAGCATGTATAAGCCCAGAGCTTATAAGCGGCAGTTTACTCCAGCTGTATCTGTCTGTTATGTGCCCTTGATATGGATTGAAAGACCACCAAAGCATGTTCATTATCGCACGGTTTGCAAAGTTACGTTTTATAGTAATAGTACCTATAAGTGTTTCAAGAATTATAATTTTAAAACTGTGATTCCGGCAAAAAAGATGTAAGCCTTTTAAACTGAACTGAACCAATTATATCTGTTTAGTTCAGTTGTTAATGTATTTTTTATTATCAGTCGAGTGTTATCGGTTGAAACTAGAAAAGACTGCAACTGTAGATGGAAACAACGTTTACTCTATAACAGTCCCCACAACAGGAATAATGTAAACAATGTTTGATTCTGGCCTTCTATTTCAAACAGGTCTCCCACACAACTCATGAATTCAATTATGTGGGTGTACGTGCTGGTCTTTGTCTTTGCTATTCAAGGTAAGTATTCCTATTGTTACACATTGTTTTAAATCCAGGTAACCAACAGCACAATGGGGAAGGTTATTAACAGCCGAGATTGCTGCTGTAGCTGGAAATAATCTCATGTTGTCCTGGCTTTCAGTAATGAGGTTCTCTTTGTTCATATAATTTTATTACTTTTTTTACCTTCTTTCTTTAATTTCAACTAGATTTCTTAATGTAACGCAAAATACGAAAAACGTTAACACCTGCCTAGCCTTTACTAAAATGAGTGGGTAAAAGAAAAAAATTAAATGCTCTGCGAAGATCTAGTGCATGAGTTCGGGAAAAAAAGGGGTTGCATTTGTTTGCGGTTAACTGGTCGGATTACATGTCTTGCATGAGAGTTTCCCGCCTTTTTTTCGCGCAATCATTTTCCCGTACCATTCGCAGTCTGCTCCTTTTTAATAAAAAAGACAATTAAATTTACTTTCGCTTTTTCAGTTGATTTGATTTATTGTTTTTTGTTGTTGTTGTGATCCAAAGCTGGCATGGTAACGGCGGAGGCGATTGAAAACAGAAGGAAAGAAGATGGAGTCCATTTTACAGATTTCAACCCGGTTTGTATTGCATTTGAATAAAAGCAAATAGAAAAATAAGTTATTAACCCTAATTGTTAATAAGTGATTTTAATAGACATAAAACCATCTTACAACTATAAGACGTATATCTTAAGGTAATTAAGTTGAAGGTACACGTGAAAAATAATTTCATGACCATCATAATTACCGAAAGAGTAATATCACGGGAACTAATCTGTCATATCAGCAATTAATGTTAAAAGTTTTGCTTGTTGATTTATGTTATTCAGGTATTTTTGTTTACGGAAAATTTTGACAGTACTCAGATGACGAAATCAGAGCGGGCAGTTAACTTTTTCTGCACTGTCTCAAATTAAACTATTTTCACATCAATATATGAAAATTAAGGAAACGGGAACTGAGTTGTTATTATCTCCAGTGCCGGTCAAATATTCGGTATTTTAAAGTAAAATTAGTGTGACAGTTTTCATACGAAAAATATTTAATGGGTGTTTGAAACACCACTAAGCGAAAACTAAGTAACGTTTTGTTAAAAAAGGTGAATTATATGTGGCTTTCAAGGCCAAAAATATCTCTTTGTGTTAAACACTTATCACACAATTTTCTTTACTCTATCAGGAAAATCTTCATCTGCGCATGAAAAGAAGTGAACTTGAAGAATACTTTGGTGTAACCTCTTATGACAAAGGTAAAAATACACTCTCACGTTCATAATAAAGTGGCGAACTTCTAGAAAAAACATCTTCTCGAATCTTGGGCGTATCCTAAGACGTTTTCTTTGCTTCAAATGAACTAAAAATGTAACATGAGCAGGAAAACTAGAACGAGTGTTAGATTTCTAAATCGTCTTGTCGTTCGAATCGTCATGGTATTCATATTAGATATCGGCTTACCGAGAGAATATAAAGTGAGGCTATTAACTTGAAAATTCCTTGATCAAAGGTATTTTTAAAGTCGTTTGATGCGACGTTACTGATCCAAAATTGGCTTATTAATAAATCTAGTGCAGATCTTCTGAAAAAATAGACGGTTTGGCCATCTTGTGCCTTGTGATAACACAAAAATTTGAACGCCCAATACACGGAGCACAAATTAAAGAAGTATCCGAATTTCGCGGGAAACGAAAAACCTATAGAAGCTTACTAGACTTTTAGGAATGTGTATTTTGGAAATCATTAGTTCATTTGATTCTGTATCGAAAGTTTATAGAAAATTAGTCTAGTGGATTGCGCTCAGTTGGCAAGAAATGCTACTTGTGATCGAGTTGGTGCCACTAATGCCACCCGATTTATATGGAGAAACATTAGAGCCATTTATACGAGGAAAAATAAGACACGAACTGTAAATTTATACGAGCATGTCTTATCTAAGACGAGAACAGCTCGTGTAAATGGTTCGCGTCTTATTTCTGTTATTGACTCGTTTGCATGTGAATGTTGCCCGTCGCAACGGCAACCAACAAGACGCAAAAATGTTCCCGCCAAAAATTAACCCATGCGTACCATGCGTTCGCGTCCTATATGTAAGACGTGAAGGTCATTTATACGAAGTTTTTCTCGTCTTAGCTAAGACGCGTCTTATCTAAGAACAGGTGTTAAGGGCTATTCTAAAATAAGACGCGTCTTAGCTAAGTCGCGTCTTATTTTAGACGAAATGTGCCGTTTATACGAAAAGTTCGCGTCTTATTTTTCCTGAAGAGTCACTCGTTTCCCCGCGCTACCTTGGGCGAGCCAACTTCCTTACATTTCCAAACAAACTAAGTTGGCCGGCCTTTTTCTATGATAGGATCACCTTCCTAACCCAGCTAATTTTTCTCCATATAAAAACTGGCTCGCCCAAGCGCGGGTCAACTCGGTCAAGGCGAGGCAATCAGAGCATGCGATAGCGCTGTTGTCAATTTTGACTCGGGTAAACAGGAATCAATTTTTTTCTTTTTTTTCTCCTATAAACGCTCGCTAAAGTTAACACGGCTGGGAGAGTGACCCTCTTTCCTGTGTCAACTTTTCTCCATATACACGGAGCCTTATTATATATTCTGTTTTTATAGTGCCGAAGTACGAAATCACACCCCCATTTCAAGCTGACGAAGATGGTAGTTTTCTGTCACATACTCTTGAGCAACACGCGAGACAAAAGAGAGAAACAGAGGAGCCTCGGTTTTGGTTCTACAATGTCAAGGCTTTTGGTATGTCCCTACATCTTAACCTTACTAAGAATGAACAACTCATGGCTCCTGGAATGAAAGTTGAGCGACACTTTAATGGTACGGTTACTAGCGAGGATCCTCCTCAGAATTCTTTCCTTAATGGTCACGTCAGCTCATTACCAGGTTCTTTGGTTGCTGTTAGTAACGAGGATGGGCTGGTAAGTACCGAACTACATTTTTTGTTTGCTTGTTTTTTGTTTTGTTTTGTTTTGTTTTTCTTTTCGTTCGATCCGGCTTGTTAACATCTTAAGACAAGCAACGCGCAACAAAAAACTATTATTAATAAACAAATACGCATTTCATACAAAACTTATAGAAATTTAGCTCAGCCGACTCCAAACTGATCGATGCATAACCAAACAAAATTACAAGCGCTTCTTTGTTATCAATTTAAACGATTTTTCTATTTAGGTTATATAAATGGAAAAGCACATTGGGGAGTTCAAATTACCGCCGCCCGGTTAGCTCAGTTGGGAGAGCGCCGGTCTGCTGAGCGGGAGGTCGCGAGTTCGAATCCTGGCCGGACCAACACTCAGGGTCTTAAAAATAACTGAGGAGAAAGTGCTGTCTTTGTAATGACATCTGCAAATGATTAGACTTTCAAGTCTTCTCGGATAAGTACGATAAACCGGAGGTCCCGTCTCACAAACCTTGTTCACATATAACTCTGTGGGACGTTAAAGAACCCACACACTATTCGAAAAGAGTAGGGGACGTAGTTCCCGGTGTTGTGGTCTATCTTCATCACTTACATCATCACTCCTCATGGGTTGGGAGGGTTCAGTGGGCTCATAAATGGACTGATAGCGGCTGCCATCGGCGCCCTTAGTATGCTGATGTCCGAGCCCACTGCAAAAAAAAGCTATGTAAAGAGGACATGTATGTTTGTCCTCTCAATCGCGACATTTACATTTACATCTACAAATAAAGAGACTCAGAACAGAGTTTCCTTTTTGAGTATCGTCTTCTATCTTTAGATTTTTGTTGCGTGTAGTTAATTATACTTTAAAGTACATAGAAATCTTCTTCTTTGTATGGTTTCGTAATTAATCAAAACAGTACAAAACTAAAGTAGATTTTCTTTTTTGTTTTCACTATCCAGACAGGAATAATCAAACTTCCTGATCAGACCTTGTTTATCCGTCCTATATCCAGTAATATTGCACCGAAAATTGTTTCTTCTGGAAAGCATCACCTTGTTTTCAGACGCTCACTTGATGATAAGCAAACCCTACAAGGTATTTCAAGTCTAAAACCAGTGCATAAGAAACATTCCAAAAAAAAATCTCATATTCGTCACTTTTGACGTTTCTATGGCAACTTAGCGTTTGTTCAGGCCTTCACCTTTGGAACTAAATATTATTTGATGTAAATGATACTAAAACATTTCTTCATAACGAACGTAAAAACACAATTTAAATCCAGTTTCTTTAAATTAGCAAATTTATAACAGAACTAAATATAACGTATTCAAGTTAGTGCATCCAAAACGCGAGGATTTTCCTTTAAGAAACTGCAATACTAATAATTAAAGAAATATTCTGTACACTACTTAAGGAAATAAGTGTTTTTCAGTGTCATTCAGGATCTTTGTTTGGACTCTGGTTTTCACCATTTCAAGGTTGCATCCATGCGCTAGTGATGTTCTTAGTAAATTTTTAAAATGTCTAAAGCTCCTTGTAAAAGTAATTATCATGGTAAAGGAGAAAATCCTGAGGGAAAACGTTCTTTGCTATAGCACTGCTGTTATTTGCTACACAATTCGGCATATTTGTCTAGATGAAGCTTCGATCTGATTTTAAAGCTTTTAACATCCCAATTAAGTTGGTTTAAATTGTTTTAAGATAATCTTTAATAATATGTTTCTGTGGAAATTGACCCAATAGTCAACAGATGGGAAGACGGGCCAGTATTAGAGGAAGCCGATTCTCATAAGGAAGGCAAAATGAAACGAGCTATCAGCCATTTCAACCTCCAGACCATGCTGGTAGCTGATAAACGTACAATCAAATTTTATCGTGAAATGAAAGTAGATATTATGACACATCTCCTCAGGATTGCAAACATGGTATGTATTTTTTAAAGAAAGGATAACTTTCGTGTCTTTAAAAGCAAGCATCCATAGCTTTATTTAGGAGCTCTCAACGCTGCTGACTATAATTGAAGGTCCATGTTCAGCTTCCACTTCTAGTAACCGACACACGAAGTTTAACTCTAACTTCAGGATTGTTCGTTTTGTACACGTTTCTCTGGTCAAGGTTGGGGGTACCCTGTTTCTGCAAAAGATATAGCTAGTTTATTAACTTGGACCACCAGCAAAACTACTCCTCCAAATCAATTCTAGCGAAGTTTAATTCATCGGTAAAGATTTTCATTGTCCTAGGCTTGTTCATGGATTTACCTACAAGTTACCCTCTTCCCACGAAAAAAAACACCGCTCCTCCAAAGCGCAATGAACTTCACCTCTTCATTGAAGTTTCTTCATTTACTATCTCTCAAACACTAGTGGAACAACTGTTTTTCTTCAACTCTAGAGTGAGGCTCATTGAATATATTATCATCATAATGTTTTCGCTGCATTGAAACAATTTAACCCTCCTCCCCTCACCACTTAGGTTTTATAGTCATGAATCGGAATAAAGTTGATCTCGGCCGACGTAGTACAAAGTACAGTTACTGTACAAAGCTTTACTCAGTGTTACGTAAATGACGACAATTCAATAAGCCTCACGGTCTTCTACATCGCACTCCTATACATTTTTACTTTACAGAAAGTTAATAGGTGGCAACACAAAACGACAGGAAAATACCCAAGTAAATCATCCTTACCTCTCTTATAACATTTTTCTTTTCTTTTCTTTTTTTTTTTAATTTTTCTTTAAGCTGAACACAATTTACCAAGATTCTTCCATCGGGAGCAAGATAATCACAATCAAAGTTGTCAGAATAGAATTAGTGGAAAATGGAGTAAGTTATATTTTTACGTCATTGAGCCATGGAAATTGAGAGCTCTACCTTTGATTATTTGGATAACTATCTGTTTTTGCTATTTCTTTTAGCTTGATTATCCACAACCTGGAAACAGAGCAAAAATTGAAACCCTCAAAAAATGGACCGAAGAGAACATTGAGAAGCCCAGACTTGCCAAGATTGATGTTGTATCGCTGATTTCAAGGTAACAAAATAAACATTAAAGACAGTTCGTGTATACGTTTTTTTTCTTAACTACAGCTATGACAGAAAAAAACCGTAAGTTTATTTTCTATTATTGCACTACACTAAATAAGTCTTCTGAAGGCTTTGACAGATTGTGGTCGCAACAGTATACTATATCATGTAAATATGCTATTAGAAGTGCTCGACGTATATTTCTACAATTGTGACAGTAATTATGCTAGTTTTTGTAAATTATGCTCGTTTTAGCAAAAAATGCAGATATCAAATATGCTTCTACTTTTTACTTTAAATTTGGTAAAAATGCCTTAACTTTGTCGCAAACAAGTAAATGGCAAAGTCATTTAATATCCTATTTACATCTAGACACTTTAAGAGTGCATAATTCATTGTCTGCCAACTATAAAAACTCAAACAATCAACAAGGAGCACGTCAACGCCATCCTAGGTAACCGAGCTAGTTATGCGCATGCGTTGAGTCTTATGGGAAGATTTCTTCAGACAAAAAAGTAATTTTGTCACTTAAATTTGTCTGTAACACTGATCTCGGGCTAAAAACAATTGGTTGCATGATCAATAAATGACCATTTTGTGATGCAAAAACAGCCAAAAGTGGAAATTATGCTAGCAGTGCTTTTTTCGCAAAATTGGTGAAAATTATGCTCGTAATTACGAACTATACCAAAACTTATGCCAGCACAATCTATCAAAGCCCAGCCTTCTCACGCAGTACACAGTGCGTTGAACCTGCTAAAACATTGACGCAATTAATGAATGAACTCGTTTTATTTGTAACGTCTATATTGAAGCATTGAATGCCTCTCACTTTTCATTTTCTCTTGCTTTTACAGAGGAGACGTAGGAGGTAAGTCAGTTCTATAATAATATATAGCTGTGATAACTTTGAGATGATGATGATGATGATGATGATGATCATGATGATTGTGGTGAAGTCCTTTTCACGATATGGTTAGCCTTCTTAAGGCTGTCTTCCGATAGAGTGCAGAAATTTATTCTGTCGTCTCCAACGTTAATCTGCAATCAGTGTCAATTTTTCTGCAAAAACTGATGAGAAATCACAGTTGTTTAAACCAATCTTACCAACAACACATTATTTAAACGTTACAGTGTTTACAAGGCATGACTTCAAGTATCTAGAATGATATCTCTTCGGTCAGTGACGCAGGTGACTCAGAAACAATCTCCCAAGGTGGAGTCGAACTGACTTTTCTGTAACCTTTTTGGTTACCAGTCCCTGAGCTTGCCACTGAGTCATTGAAGACTCGCAGAAGATAAGTTCGTTAAATTCGGTCTATGCGTGAAACATCCATACTGCTAAACTTGCATTGTTACTAGTCCGATAACTTTCTGTGCACTGAATATACATCGGCCATCAGTATTAATGATATCACTATAATTTCACTTTGCTTCAGGCATGGCGGACTATAATTCAATATGTAAGAGGACAAGCTACACGGTAAACAATGATATGGGTCTTTCAACAGTACTCATCCTTGCCCATGAAACTGGACACACGTAAGTCAAAGAGTTAGCATCGATCCATGCAGATAGATTAAACACTCAGATCGATTTAGGTTTCTGTGAAACCTACCTCGTACCCCTCCCCTAAGCCAACATTTCGCCCTAAGTGAGAAGTTTTCCAGAAACCACATTCGTAATATATGCTATTTTAAACAAAATGTTATACTACTTTTTTTAAAACGGTTATCTTTACTTATTAAGTCTCGTGAGCCTTCTGATATAGTTTCAAGGCGTATTCCTTGCTCTACTTTTTTATTTTATAGAGCCAATTCTGCTAAAAAAAAATACTTAACAATTAATGAATGAGGCTGAGTATCTTATGAAGACTTATGGAGATCGACGAGGGTGTTACGGCCTCGATGGATAACATCCCCCGAGATCTCCATAATTCTTCATATGATACGAAAGCCGAAGTCAATGAATTGTTTTATTATTCATTCAAAATAATTCCTAGTATAAAAACATGGCTAAAACATGCTTACCTCCATCGATCAATCGATGTTAAGTTCATCTTCAATAGTGCGGGTTTAGGGTTGTTCAGCTCCGCAAATATTCTCCAAATAGCAGATGTCGCCCTTCGAGTTGTCTTCTTGCTGTTCTTGCCATGTTTTACGCTATTTTTTGCCTAGTTCTTACTCTTGAAACGAGTCAAATGTCCGCCATTTTTCCAGTTCGCGACCAAAACAACTTAACCTCGTCCCCAGGTCTTCACGGTTAACGGTGCATTAACCTGCAAAAACGTTGCATTTTTGACGTCATTTTCTCGCTAAACACACAATCTTTCCAAATTTGGTCATCAGTAACTGGTTATGGTGAATTAAACGTGTGCTGTTAGCCAGTCCGAATCGGGCAAATATTTTGAATGAATAATAAAATATTTTAGTACCTCCAAGAGTTCATTAACAGACATCATTTTGCACAATGAGCCCTGTTAATCTCCCCTGTTTGAATATTGTTAGAAATAAATCTTATGCATTCTTCGAAGCAATTTAGATTTCTGAGAAAATGTCCAAATACCCCTTCCCTAAGCCAACATTTCGCCCTTAGTGAGAAGTAAGTGTTAATGTTGGCTTAGGGGAGGGGTAGGTGGGCAGTTTCCCAGAAACCTAACTTGATCCCATACTCTTAATGTTTAAGGCTGGGATTGGACCATGACGGAAAGACTAGTGACTGCCCTGATGGTAAATACATCATGTCTACAGCGGTGCCGGGAGGAGGAGAGGCTGCTACGTGGTCTCCTTGCAGTAAAAGAAAGATGGAGTCTCTTCTAAGGTAGAGCAAGCTATTTCACTTTTTTTTATTTTGACTTAGAAAATGTTTTAGCCATGCACATCACCTCTAAATTGTTTTTCCTCATTCTCTTTGTTTCTAGTATCTATACCATATTTGTATAGGTAATAACATGATTTGTATTTAGTAAAAATACCACGAGTGATATTTCGAAATTATTCAAAATTCTCGAGCCGTTAGGATAGTAAAATTTGAGACAATTTTGAAATATCCCTCGTGGTATTTATGCCAAACATCACGTGCAAATCATGCTATTATTTGTTTATACTACTACCCTCACAAGTTTCTAATTTTCACATGTAGGCATTTCAAATTAAGCTGAAAGGCACTCAGGAGAAATACCACTGCTCTAGGCCAATCAAATTGCAGAAATTTCTCATGTAGTAGTATAAACTAGATTAAACGCGGCGAAACAACTGTGACCGACCAAACGGTGTGCCGGATATTACGGTCCAAATGGTCCAGTGTGGAATTGGGCGAAATAAAAAAATAAGATGCTTTTCCTATGGCATATAGCAGTAGAATTCCCTAGTCAGCGTGATTGGTTTAATTCTAATCTCTACCCAGATGTCTTGCCGAAGAAGAAATATTTATATTTATTTGAACAAACTCTACTGAAGACTTCGCAAAGAATGAATTACACACGCCATAGCGCGCGCAGATGGCAATACTCACGTCATTCGCTTGAAATCTGGCCGATCAAAAAAATTGAATTTTCCTACTGAACAAGATCACGCCTTCGGCCTTGTCAGCAAGAGATCTGGGTACGAGATTAGTTTAATTCCACACAAAAAAAATATATAAAAAATCAGTCATTGCCATTTGTTAGCCGACCTCCAGCCTGTCTTACTGATGGAATAGGGGCCAGAGTTACCTACACGAAAAGCTTCAACAACAAGCTGCCAGGAAAAGCTTTGAATGCAGACATGCAGTGTCAGTTACAATACGGACATGGATATCGCCAGTGCAAACAGAAACAGGTGAATATTTAAAAAGTATAAGAGCCTGCAATCTTCTCTTTAATCGACTAGGTCTTTCAACGAAGGAAGGATGTCGTACAGACGGCATAAACTAAAACAAGCCTTATAAGGGACGGCAGAACATTTTTCCAGGAGGAGGCGGGGGGGGGGGAGGCTAACAAGTAACTTAAATGGGAAGGGTTTATAGACTCTTTTCTCAATTGGGTTTTAATTTTTTTGGACAAAGTGGGGGACGTAGACTAATGCTCAGCACCCCTCCGGAATCCGCCATCCCTGATCTTCTAGGCCCCTTGCACACACATCTGTGGCCTATTTTACCTGGAAAAGAATATTTCTACTGTCTTTGTTTTCAACATATAGAAACTAAATGTTTTCATCCTTAGAGTGTTGTCCGCTTCTGGTTATTTTTAAAATAGGGATATTTTCATCCGGATTAACCCTCAGTCACTTTAAAAGTCTCACATGTCAAAATAACAAGTTATTGGGTTCATGATAAATGAAGCCTTTCGCAGCAAAACAAAAAAACGGTTTGATATTTCATCGGTGTTTATATAATAAATAGAACAATGTTACATGGCCGCCTGGAGAGACGAAATTTTTCTTCACGTGTAAAATATTTCACTCGTTCGGAGCCTCGGCACGGTAATGTAATATTCTTTACATTCTTTAACACGTCCTTCAAATCCTCAGATATCAACCCGTATTTTTTTCAGAATTTGTTTAACAATCAGATTAATTCCTTTATTCTCGTGACCTTTATGTTTAATTATTCATGTGATATTTTATGGAGAAGTTAGATGCTAGGCCTTTGCAAGTTATTAGTTAAATTCCGTTGTTGCTGTTGTTTAATATTTATTTTCCTAATCATTTTTTAGTCTGACTGTGCTTCGCTGTTCTGCACAGCGGACGGATACCATTGTCTAAGTAAAATTGCTCCTCCTCTGGACGGTACCTATTGCGCACCAAGACACGTGAGCACTTTTTTTACTTTTCACAGTACATAGTATTTATTATTTTTCAGAAGTATTTATTAATTATATAACCCGCAAACTAAAAGGTTTACAGCTTTTTCATTATCTGACTTAAATGACCCTGGCTTTTACAGAATCAAGAAGAAATATATGCCACGCTCACAAACGATCAAAAACTCTACTGTTACGAGGTTAAAGTGAAAAAAACAACCATCAAGAACTAAATTTTCATCTCAGTTTCGTTACGACGAAAGAAACAAAAATTACAAAGAAATTAATTCTCTAGCAGTCCAGCAATACTGACGCAAGCCAGAAGACCTGGCTGCTCTGTGTTTTGGTTTCCTCGCATCGATACTAGCTGATACTAGCTGATACTAGCGGTGTAGAATTATTGCAGACGACCTCAGTTAAGTTTAAAAAGTACACTGGATGCTTAGATAGGAGATTACTCAAATTGTTATCACGTTCATAGCCTGCGTAGCAGGCAGGTTTTTTTTGGTGTGTACTTCGTGTTTCGTTAAGTAAGAGGTCAAAAGAGGAAATGATGGGGAACTAGGGGAGAGAGAAAGAAGACAGAGATAATTTTTTTCCGTCTTCTTTCCCTCGACGTTTACCTTCCCCCATCGTTTTCTGGTTTGACCTCGGCTCAGCTTTCTCGCGGCAGTATCCCTTACATTACGAAACACAAAACTCCGCCACCTACGCAGGCTAATGTTTCACAGAAGCGAATGATTCTGGTAAGGTCCTCTTTGACAAAAAATAGCGAAGGAAAGCTGGATCTTGTTGAAGATCAGGATACGTAACACTTTGTAGCCTCTGATGTGGAAGACTTTCGTCTAGTCGAAATATTAGGCAAATAAATTACCAACCCTTAGCTGATGTCCAATCAGCCTTGTCTTCAATTTTTAATGTTTCAAAACCTTATCTGATCCTATTACGCCTGCAGTGGTGCATCAAAGGAGCATGTGTTGATGACGGGACCTCAAAGATCAATGGAGGATGGAGTGCCTGGCGCAAAAAGTATGAAATATGTACAAGAACATGTGGGGGAGGTATACAGTGGAAAACGCGAACCTGCACTAATCCAAGGTACAAACTCATGCAACCTTCCTTCCACACATACCCCTAGGACGAGTTCCGAAATTCCCGTGAATATTACTCCTAGTTTATCCGTTTATTCTCCGGGACGTAACACAATCTAAGTCTACCGTTGGTTCAAGACGGAATTGTGCTGACGCCTCGTATTTTGGGTGAACTATTATCTTGAGCTAACAGCACTAAACATGATTATAACAGGCTTTTAAGATAGCTAAGAGCTAATGAGTCTTAAAGAAATAACGGTTAATTGCCATCTAAGATTTTATTCAGAATATGATTCTATAAGGGGACGGAAAAAGACCGTTGAGCGTTTTAGTTCTGCTCTTACAACCCTTAAATGGTTAAATACCGCTTCGACTTGACCATCGAACATAAGCAACTGCGCTTTGTGAAAAAACGGTTAACTCTCATTTTGCCATTAAATTTAAGAGTTATTAATTTTCTTCTCACGATTATATTATTCTAAGGTCAGGGTGCCTCTCATAATATTATAACTATCATGTGCATCCTGTATCGTGGCAGGATTCAAACGCTGAAATCATCTCTGGCTGGTACTTGTAGCATGATTAAAGTACAAACAGCGACTTGTCTCAGTGATATTCTGTTAAGTATTTATTTAATCTTTCATTTTATTTATTCATCTGAAGCCCCCGAAACGGCGGCGAAAATTGTGAAGGAGACTCCATAGGCTTATACAGAATTTGCAATACAAGGGTAAGTATTAAACCCCATTTACACGGGCTCAAAAATCGGCACGGCACCCCAACGTTTTGGCACCGTGCTGACGATTTTGAGGCACGGCACCGCAATTTTCGACGTGTAAACGTATCGGTCCCAAATGCAATGTGGCACCAGTGCTCAAAATTTTAGGGGTGCCGAGACTACCTCCCGAAGGTAGTCTCGTCACGGGTAAACGAGGCACGGTGCCAAATATGTGGCGTGCCGTGCCGATTTTTTAGCACTTATAAATGGGGTTTTAAAGGCAGTTTTACGGGGGAATTATTCATCATTAGTTTATCCAAATCCCAACCCCATAAGTTGCGCAAAAAATATAATATATCTTTTTTAATTGAGTTCAATCAAAGGATGGCCATAAGCGAGAGAAGCAGCCGAAGGTTAACCTTGTTGGAATAATTTATTAATATCAAACAATGATATTTTTATGCCCAGATTACTCCAAGTCCATAGATCAGTAACGATCAAAACATGAAAATAAATTTCAAATTTTTCATTTTTCAGCCTTGTCCGGCTGACTCCGAAGAATACCGAGTAACACAATGCAAAGTGTTTGATCCTTCATACACACAAATCTGGTATATTGGAGGAAACTGTAAGTACATACGGAAATCTGTTATGCAGATTTATCACCTTTTAAACAGTCTGCGAGTAAAATCTGGATTTCTCCTTTATATACATTTGCCACGACCGACGAAGCTGATATTTCGAAATTTTAATCTGAAAATGGATTGGCATTTTTTTTTTCCTTTTCAAAGTTCTAGAGTGCTTCATCACCTCTAATATCTTACTCTTCAAAGGGAATAACGTGCGGCAGTAGATGGAGGTCCATTTTGTTTAGCTTTCCAGTTAATCTCCATCTTGGGGATTACGAGATTAAATAGCGATGACGTAATGACAGTTTCGTAAAGGAAAAAATAATCCCGAGCGTTTTGTTTAAAGGGAACCTCCACTTCAGCAAAAAGATAACTTTAAATCACAGGAAATAACTGTTACAGTCAAGTCAATCTTAAATATTTTTAAAGAAAGCGTTTGTATCCGAAAGAAATAACTTTTAGATTCGCCTATTTTCGTTTTCAAATTTTGCGGGCGTCGCCATCTTGAATAATTGTGAAGTGTTACGGTTGCTCTATTGTGAAACAAAAGCTCTTTGTGTCAGAACAATAGAGCAACCGTAACACGTCACAATTATTCAAGATGGCGGCGCCTGCGAAATTTGAAAGTGAAAATAAGCGATATTAAAATTCACTTTTCCTGATATAAACACTTTTTTTAAGGACAAATTTCGAACAAAATTGTTTATCAACATAATTTTATTCGATTTAATCTTATTCTGTAGTAAGAGTGGAGGTTCCCTTTAAATTTAAAAACAACGAAAATAAAACTTTTAGAAACTGTTGAAGGCTTTCAAATTCCAAACCGTCCGAAACATTTAAATGAAGATAAGCCATTGTTTAACCTTTCAACTAAGAATTTTTCTTCATCCCTTTTTTGGGTTTCCAGTTCTCTAATTTTCCTTTATAAATTCTTGGTGATTTTTCTAGCTGCGTGCAACTTATATTGTCGAAAAGGATTTACTTATCGCCCCAAAGGAATCGTTAAGGACGGAACAAAATGCCAACCGGATTTATCACCAAGTAACAGGGATATTTGTCTTGGTGGCAAGTGCATGGTAGGTTATTATTACAATTATCATCATCATCATCATCATCATCATCATCACCATCATCAGTCTCCCAGTTACAGTTTTTAAAGATGTTAATTTTCCTTGAACAACAATTTATTACTTATTTTCTGGACCCATACCAACAGCTTCAACTTTAAGGACCTTTCTCAAAACGAAAGTGCATACTTTTGCAAAGTTGTGGCAAGTCGAGTTCTTCAAGGTCTTGATATTTTTCCTCTTTCTCTCTCTAATTATAAAAAGCATCATAATTCCTTATTATTATCATTATGTTAGTTATGGTTATTATCATTATCATTAACAATGTTAGTTATTTTTGTCGTTTTTGTTGTTGTTGTTGAAATTGCATTGCACGCAGCTGATGACTTTGGGGCTGGTTTCTTCATTGGCCCCCTAATAACAACAACTAGCCAAGGATCATCTCCTGTTTGCCTTTCCTTTCCACTCCTGACCCAACGCTCTCTTCAATCAATCACTGCATTCTCTTTTCTACTGCCAAGAACAGTGATGCCTTTGGAACTTCCTGACTTCGAACGATCTGTATTAGATAGTTTAAGCTTCACGTATACGGCAGACGGCAAAGGGCAAAAGTCAGATTCAAGTTGAGAATTTCTCAAAATAGAAAATGAGCAGATAAAAACAGCTCAAAACAATTCTTATGGATAAAAAATTGCCCGAGACTACTAATTTAGGTGTAGAAATAATGAACAGTAAACGACAAGTAAAGAGGAAAATTGGTCATGTAGTACAAGTTCGCGCCGGTTTGCCGTTTGACCTAAACGTGATGCTTAACCTCTCCATTCTCGACTTTCTCCTTTTTTGTAGTCTGTAGGTTGCGATTATAAAATCGGCTCTGGTACAGCTCATGATCGTTGTGGAGTTTGCAATGGAGACAGTACGACATGCACTCCTGTTACAGTGACCTTCACAGAAGACTGGAAAGAGAGGGGTGAATAAATTATTAAATTTTAATGGTTTCAACCTAGAGTCGAAAAAGGGTCCCTTTCCTATCCTAATGTGGATAAGACTAGTAACTGCCAACAAAGTACTGTTTCTTTTTTATTTTCCACCAAAAGATGAGAACGTTGCCTCGATCTTTACTCGTTAAGCTCTGCCTGAGGGTTCTTGAAACGATGCGTGAGGTAACAGCCCAAAACATGATGGGACGGGGTGTTCTACCTATTCCTCTGATTTGCAGACAAAAAAGCACACAGGACAGTGTTCGAAGAAAGATGCAGCCGCTCTTGTTTGATTTTGTTGTAGTTGTTTTAATTGTCCTCGAAGTGTTTGGATATCAGATGAAACAGCTTTCCGAGTTGTTTTATATGCTCTCAACCGATTTTCTTGTTAAAGAATTTTAAACCACGATATCGTTCGAAAAACTCAGGTACAATAAAGGATCAAACTGAGTGCATTTGTATCAAAGACAAATTCTGAAGACCTAAGTCAAGATGGTTTTATCTGCCGAAACCAGTTAAAAATGCAGCGTGTTTTACCTATAATTAGAGGAAAAAAGGAATTATCTCTGAAATGATCAAAGTGGTTATCTGTTACTAACAAAGCGAATTGCTGCTTTCCCACAGGACCTGAAAATGCCAAAGTTATGCTTGTTGTGCCAAGGAAATCAAAACAAATAAAGGTGTTAGAAAATGTGGGCGACAGAAACAGCATTGGTAAGAAATAAATCATCAAGATTGTTCCTAAGAGCAGCGAGGAAAGATGTTGAAAGTGTTTCTCCCAAATTGTGAAAAGAGCTTATCAGTCTGTCTTGCTCACGAGATGACCTTAGGCTTCTGGGAACAAGGCAACGATCAGAAAGTGATGACACTGGGACCAGGGTGAAAATTAGGCTCCATAGTATTATGGGTAGGGTGACCTTTTCCTTCCTCTTATCGGAATAGGGGGAGTATCTGACACATCAGGAATGTCCCAACTGTCTTTGCCCAGTCAAATTGTCCTTCAGTTATTTCATTTGAATTCCTTCTTTAACCCTTCAGTGGATTTCAAAAATTCAAATGCTGCTGCGGTTAATATTTGTTTCTGTAAATATGTGAATTTATAATTTTGTGCCACAAGTAATCCAAGTTTACTTATGCAGGCTTGCAAACCACGAAAGGAGTTTACCTCGTTAAGCCGGGTGATTTTGGGAAGAAATCAGTAGCTGGCAGCGAGATCAATTACGGAAGGGATAGATCGCGAAGAGAGTTCATGCACATACCAGGACCAATTAAACAGGGTCTCAAATTTGTGGTAAGAAAACAAGAGTTAAGCTAGAGTTAATTTCAATATCATGTAACTCATTGTCCCTAAACGGCAGTCTTTTTACGTGGTGATAAAGATAGGACATAGTGAAGTCGCCATCCAGCAAGGAATGGTTTGACACTACGGTTTGTAATCCCCTGGCGCTTTTTAATTCTTAGTTCGTATCCAATGGTCCAACAAACCGAGGTGTTGTGATCAGTTACCTCAAGGCCAAAAAATCACTTGTTAGTCCAAATGACGTGCAGTGGTATGTCGAGACGAAGGAGTGGTCCAAGTGTTCAGAAAGCTGTGCAGGAGGTACGGTTCCAAAATTTAGGTCTATACTTCAGAAAAAAAGGCCTTTAGATTCGAGGACGAGAACGACTACGACTGCGAGATTTGATTTAAAGTTTTTTCGCGTATTGTCAAAAATAGACACCCCGGAACTCTTTATTGTACTTTTTTTTACTAAAAAAGTTAGCGATGTTATCGGTTTTGAAGGAGGTTAAGACCTTTCCAGATTGCAAAATGCTAAGACTTCAAACATTTGATAACTTGTTCCCGCCAGTACGACATTCTCGCTAAAACCCGTAGGAGAATGATGACGGCTACCACGTTTTCCGGCCAAAATGACGCTGATTCACGCGTGAGTACCACTCAGTATTGAAAAAATCTCGTACTTGTAGTCGTTCTCGTCTCAGAATCTAAAGGTCTCTACTAGAAGAAAATTGGGCCGAGTTAACTTTTGCAAAGATTTCTGGGACTGTTACAGGGGACGGGGGGGGAATTGGCTGGGCAGCGCGTCCCCCGATAACGATCCCATAAGTCTTTGCGAAAGCCACCTCAGCAGCTAGTTTTTAATCCTTCTAGTTTCTAAAGTGGCGAAGCGTTGTTGGTTCACTTGCTCAAAGAGCAAATCTATCACCTTAAATCTTAACAGTGCAACTATTCATCACAGAATACATTCAGGTATACGAAGATTTCACTATAATCGACCTTTTTTTACCTTTTTGAGTAAAATCCTCTTTACATTATTTAGTGCAGGAAAGGCCCCATTCGATACGCGTTACCAGATGAGTTTTAAGGAGTGTGCCTGGCTTAACCAATGAATTATTCACCACCCTAAGACTGAGTGAGCGCTTTGTCGCACACGTCATATACATAAAATATTCTTGCTTATCTGGTTGCTGATTTTTGCTTATGCTCCAAAGGTATTCAAAGAAGAACAGTAAAATGTAAACGAAAAGACGATGGTTCAATAGTTGCAGATGCTGTATGCAAGAAGGGAAGCGCTGTAAAGCCAGAAGATGAGAAGCCATGTAATACTCAGCCATGTCCACCAGAGTATGTGACGAATACACCTACTGAGAATGGCCTCGACCTTCAAGTTTTTTAAAGCTTCTTGTAGCAACATATGAGGAAATGAACCCTCAACAAGAGTACCAGTCATTGCCATATGCATATGCAAACGAGTTAAAAAGTAGAATATAAATTGCTTGATAGGTAAAACTAAGACATGCAGATTAAAAGACCCTTACTCTTTTGATACTGCTGGAAAGAGCGCCTTAAAATTCCCCCCCATGCACGTTATAAACGTCTGTAAAATTCGGTGACTGTGCGGAGCTTTATCTTCGTTATACTTTTTGATAAATCACGTTCTAACTTGGAATTTTCGCCTATGTTAAGGCGTTTCTGTTAGACTTGTTGGGGGATTTTCGCGAATTGGTCCCAGTCAAAAGTTAGGAAAAAACCTAATAGTCTATCATGCGACATACGAAACAATGAGAAGAGTGATACGTCATCACGAACAAACACAGAGTTAGTGTTTTTCGTTTGAGGGCACAAATCCTTTGATCTATCTGTATTCTATATTTGCCAATGGCTTGACAGAGCTGTCTTACGCAACTAAATTTTAGCACCCATCTTTTCTTTTCACTTTAAGTTGCTCTTGCTTACTGAATACTCTTTTGTAAACATAGATGGCACATAACTAGCTGGAGTTCGTGTTCAACGACGTGCGGTCATGGTGTTGTAACAAGACAAGTGTCTTGCAAAAAGAAAGTCAAGAACCCTGGTAAATACGAACCAGCCTCAGGCTGCCCGGGATCAAAGCCCACACTGCTTCAAAAACCCTGCTTCGCTGTACCATGTCCACCTGAATGGGTCCCTGGTCCGTGGGCAAAGGTAACAATCAGTTTATAACATCGATCTATTACCGCGGTAGGTTTAGCTCAGTCGGTAGAGCGTTTGACTTCAGAGCGGGAGGTCGCGGGTTCGATTCCCAGGGCCGGACCAATACTCAGGGTCTTAAACTAACTGAGAAATAACGGGACTCCCTTCGCACGGCAAGCAGCTAGACTTTCGGGTGGCTTGGATGACCATGGCAGTACCGTCTCCAGTTGGAGAAGTAAAAATAGTGTCCCCAATTACTGACGCTCAAATAGAGTGCTTTATGTTTTCAATCTCAATCGATTAGGATAGACTGGTTTTCGTTTGAACAAAGCGAACAAAATCAAAACAGCAAAAGAAAAAGAATATCAAAATTTGACGGGTTTTGTCGAACAGACAGAAACAAAGCATACGTGGCTTTTGGTTGGTTAAGCTAACAAGTAACGTGTATTCCCAGCAGAAGAAAGATCGCAGAAAAGTGGCTGAAATTCAATGAGATCTTAATTTCTGTCCCAGTATTAGTATTCGCTACTTGTTATATCAGCCATTAGATGGAACTCAAAGGCTGCCGTTTTCCCGGCAAAGAAAAAATCCAAAAGAAAGAATAAAGCATAATTCCATTGTCCAACCGGGAGTCCAGTTTCTCTCCCCCAAGCACGTTGTGGAAAAGATACTTAAACCCAGAGAGAATAACGGGACTGAGAGAGAAACGCCCAGTCTAGCCCTTGGGATCTGTCAATTTCACCTAAGTTATTTTTAGACAGATAAATCGGAACTTGGTTTCCGGAAAGGTCCGCAAACGTCTATTCATGTGTTTTCAAGAAAGAATAATAATCAATAATAATCTTTATTACGCTTGGTCAATGTACATGGTTAATATCACACTCTAGGAAATTTAATTACGGTACAAGATATATTAAATGTAAGAAGAATAATGTGCAAGCTTGGAAGCTAAATGAACCAGCTGATTTTCTTGTTAGCTCCCTGAACAATTTAGGTTTTAGGTAGCAGGTAAAATCAAAGGAAATACAACGAGAAAAGAAAAGAAAAGAACAGAAAAACAGGAGCAAGCCCCTACTTTAAAAGATTTTTTACCTGCTCGAAAGTAATACTTGCAGCCATCGCGAGCAATTTTAGCGTCTATGGTGATACGGCTTGAAAACGTGACCGTCCACCCTGACGACGTATGCTTATTCAATATTGGGACATCGTGCTCTCTTGGTATGTCACCATTGCAAAATTCTGCATTGTTTGCTTTCAGCCAGACGCGTGTACGACTTTATTTATGACGTTTCAAACATTTGGCTTAATTGTGTGAACGTACAATGAATTAGATTTCTGCTTAATTACAATCCCTAAAAATAAATAAAGTCAAATTCACGTATCCCGGCCAACGCCCTAAGATTCATTCTCTGTCATATTATTCTCTCTTGTTATAATTATCAGCCTGGAAAAATCAGTCCGGATCCTGGCAGAACACTACTCTTCCTTTCAGGCCATGAAAGTTTGCGTTAATTCATTCACTCATAACTTGTTTGCTCCCGCCCAAAGTAACGCACGCACATGACATCATGGCTTGTAGGCTATATATTAATCATCAGATCCTATTTTGCAGTGTACGAAGACCTGTAAGGGAGGTGTGCTAAAACGCACGCTAACCTGTCAAAAGCCACATGGTGATGGCAAGTTCATCCCCGTGCCCTCCGTTTTCTGTAAGGGAGCTGTAAGGCCACCAGTGACTGAACCGTGCAATACTGATGTCCTCTGCAAACGTAAGAATATACTTAACAACAATAATAATAATTCATTATTATTATTTACTCTACGCATCAAACACATTTCTATTGCTTTGGGAACGGGGATTTTAGTTTTCCCTCATTTTTATAAGATTTTGTATATTTCATGTAATGGTACTTTCATTCTATCTCTCAAACTTTGTTAGTGTTTAGCCTTTCCCTTGCGTTTCTCCTTCTAGCGATTGTCACCAAATAACGCTCCGTCCTTGCTAAAACGCATTACATTGTTATGCTTTTTGATCCTTCCACATGCGCCCAGTGTCCACGTCAGCTTCTAATCCAGGCCATCGCTATATTATTACGGTTGTAAAATGACAGCTTTAGTTACAAGAGTACAGTTGTGTAATTTTTCCTTTTTGGTCTCGCTTCAGTATTAGGATAAAGTCGCGCCCGGGGGTCCATGATAATTCAGTCCTTCAATCGCAACATGATTTGATAATTCAGGGTTATGCTTATGCGGTGTACCAGTATAAGACCCTGACGGTTGGCGATGTGACTTGGGTACGGTAGTCTAATCAAATAGTTATAAGGCCTTTGACAACACTAAATACAGTAACGTTAAATAACAGCTTCTGATAGATAAAACTTTTCATACTGATTTAAACTTTTATTTTTTTTTTAATAAACACTTTATGTTTAAATCTTGGAGAATAACGTGATCACAGTTTGCTGAATATAGGTCGAAGACGCAAAAGAAGACGAGAATCGGCTAAAAACAAAAGGGTGATCCGGTGGTTGGACTAGCTACTGAGATGTTCTTGGCTACAACAAATGAAAGGAGTGAATCACGACATATTAGTAACTGAATAATTAGCTAGAAATTGGACAGTTAACGGACTTTGTTGTAATTTTTAAAACATGATGTTGAAATGTTTGCAATAATATTAACTTACACTAGATTTTATTCGTTTTGTGATTCTTAACCCTATTAATTGAGCGTTGACATTAATCAGTATCTGATTTCTTAACACACTTTCACTGCTAATTTGGCATAAAGGTAAAGAGAGTAATGAAATCGTTAACTAAAATATAGGTGAAGACAGTGTAAGGAATGTTGACATGGCGAGACAAAGGGATAGAATCAGAAACCACATTTTTCCTTTTTTTCCCGTGTAATATCTATTGAAAGAAGACGCATCAAAAAATTTAAACCTACATTTGAGAACCAGGGCCCAACTCCTTGAAACCTAACTAGTTAATATTAAAATGCTATACTGTTTTAGCCATAATTAGGGTTTATCTTACCAAAGGCTCAACTCAAAAGTTACTAGACGAGACATTTTTTTTGGCTTAATCCTGCATTAAAGTTAACACCTTTCGAACTACACGGTCTAAAGTGAAACTCTGTATGGGCGTTTTCTATCATGAAGGGCGGTGTTTCAACGTAAACGTTCCTTGCATATCAAGAAATGTTTATCGTGGTAGCACTATTAGCGAGCTCGAAAAGCCACGACGACGACGAAGGACTTACGAAAACGAGAAAAGCAAGAGAACAATAGGTTTGATAAGCCGAAAAGGTCTGAACGTGTATTACACTTTTTGGTATTTCTTTGCTAACATCTCCGGAACAAAGTTAATCAGGACGGCATCGTGCGGATGGTCTCTTTAATCTCTAAGATCGTCGTTTGGTTAGTAGCGATCATCGCCACCGTTCGGATTTTTTCGGAAATGCTCTTACAGAGTCTGTAAAGTGCTAAACAGTTTTTCTGTTAACCACTTTCAACTGAATCACTTCTATGTAATAAAAGGAAACAAACATTAACGAATTAAAAGTGCTAAAATTAATAGTTACTAACTAGACTTATTTTATCAAAGTAAACGTGATTTATTTCATAACTTTCTGTTACTGTCTAGTATGTTTTACTCAGCATTGTTCTAGCTACTGAATCAAGTTGTTACTAAGTCAAGTTTCCCTTCTTTGAAATTTAATGGTTGATCATAAATATTATAAAGCCTATATCTTTATTAATACTTATCGTCTTTAATTGCCTAAAATGAAAGAAAATAAAAATAATTGAAACATTTATCTGTCACTCACTTAGGTCTGTTAAAGTAAAGTCGGTTAACCGCCCAAAGGGTCCCTTGTAGGGAAAATATATTATCTTAAACAAACTAATCAATACTGAAATAGGTTTTTCTAAAAGAAAATAACTCAACCAATATCCCTTTACAACAACTCAATCGATGTGTGAGTTAAAAATGAGAGAAAACAAATGGTGAGGGCTATGCACCTGAGATCTCTCTCGAAACAGGCTCAAAATAAGTCTAACAAAAAAATATTATTTCAAAAAATAAATGGAAACATATTTTCCACTATTACTATCTTTCATATCACGTCATCAGTGGTTTCTGGTCACAGACTATTACTATTACAGTTGAATTTTAAATTGTGAGGGAAAAACATCCCAAAAAATCACTGCCTGTTTCATAAAACAGATATCCGCATTGATAAAAGTATACCAAAGACTAAAATTTGATAATCTTAAGTTTACAGTTCTTCTCTCTTACTACAGTACCTTGTGTCTTTCTCTCCGCCAATCAGAAGTCATTCTAAACCCATCGTGACCTACCGCGCTCAATAGTAAATAATAAATAAAATAAATAATTATTAATGATTTGGAAGAAGCACATCCACAAACTGGTTCTTTGTCTACCTGACTGCGGGTCGAAGTGGAATTTGGAAATGATGGTTTTTGAGGAGAGGGGAAAACCGGAGTACCCGGAGAAAAACCTTTCGGAGCATAGGAGAGAACCAACAACAAACTCAACCCACATGTGGCGTCGACACCGGAATTTGAACCAGGGCCACATTGTTGGGAGGCCAGCGCTCTCTCCGCTGCGCTACCCCTTGCTCCCCAAAGTAGTACCACAAGATAGGGGTTATTTGAATTTGCCATCTGTCTTTTATGTGATTGGCTAGAATAATTACTTTAGTTCAATTCTACATAAACAGTGGACGGTGGTTACTCCAACTGGACACCCTACAGTGTTTGCTCAAGAACGTGTGACGTGGGATTCCAATTTCGAACGAGAGTGTGTAACAATCCTGCACCAGCTAATGGAGGAAAGGACTGCACCGGCCTGGGACCAAGATTTCAAACCAGATTGTGCAATACTCAGAGCTGTTTGGGTAATCATTTAGTACATAGTTAGACAAGACTAAAAGCGGAGCTTCGGGAAAATAGTTGACATTCAACAGACTTTCAACCAATAAATTCAAAATAATTACCTCGGACAAAAAATTAACTTGAACCCACGCTCCAATGAAAAAGTTGGCAACTTGAAAACCCAAGGAAATTATTTGTGTAGTGTATCTGAGCCCACGATACGGTCATTTAACACATATCAAGCGGATGCTCTAATTTGCCGGCTTGCTGTTATTATTGACATGGACGGTGTGTAATGTTGTGGTTCAATTTTATTCTTGGTTCAGATTTTATTTCCCATTCTTTTGAACTCATTATCATACATTAGCACACCGAAAAAGAGAGGAACAGAAAATTTAACCCATAAGAGAAAGATAAAAGTAGTTTTGCATTCTCTTTTAAATATTGTTGCTTTCAGGAATGTTTGTTTAAGTACAGCATTACCATGTAGTTCTTTTACCGTATCTCTCACGGCAGCGTACCAAACACCCCCATAAGACAGACACTTCCCTAAAACGCAAAAGCTGTTCTTTGGCGTTTTTCACTACACTCACTATTCTAGCATCGCTAAAACTTTCCAGCAATCAAAAAGCGATTATAATTGGTCACTTAGTTTAGGACTGAATGGTGAAAAATGTATGGCTTTTTTCTAGCTCTTGGTACGATTTTTAATATGCCCTTTAAATTTTGTTTCAGTGCGGAAGAAATACCGATCGTTAGGCTGCTACAGAGAAAGTCCTCGGAGACGTCTTCTACCAGTTTTAGAGAAAAATTTTCGTTCAAGTATGAAATGGACCGCGATAGATGAATTAGTTGAAGACTGCTATGAGATAGTAAAAAACACCCACTACAAAGTCTTTGGATTCAAATTCTATGGCGAGTGTTGGGTTGGAGAGAGGCCTGAGCCACAATACAAAACAAGTATGGATAGGTGCTTCTTACATGTAGTAGGAAAAGCCCATAGCTACTACGTGTATGAAGTTGTATAGAGGTATGAAATATGTTTGCCACCTTTTAAACTTTACTTAGACGGTTGGTGTTCAGTTATAGATCCGTATAAAGCGTGTCTAGGTTAGTTTCAAAGTGCAAAATGTTTTATTCTTTTCTTTTTCCTTTTGTAAACAAAAAAGCACTGGTGCGAAGAATAATAAAGCCTATAGTTTGTACCATAATATGATTGAGACGTCCCCGGCTTTTGTTGTTGTATTTTATTATAAGTATGTTTTAGAGCAATAAATGTTGAAGTGTTGTGGCCTGCTCCCTTGTTTTGAGTCCTCATTCTTCTACATTTGCCTCTACTATTGCGTGATTGAACTAAAAAGGCATGTTTTACTTATCTACATGTATGTTTGGATGGATTTTAGCAAATTGAAGAAGCGTTTAAGCAAAATTAACGATCTTCACAATCCTGGACCATAGACTCTTTACAAACGTGATTAATGACTTGTTATTGATATGGTGTCTATTAAGTAAAAACCAACCTCGTGAAAATTATTTCTAAAACCTAAACTCCAGGTTTTACTTATTTAAATGTATGACTTTGTTTGGATGGATTTTAGCAAATTGACGCAGCGTTTAAGTAAAATTAACGATCTCGTGAAAATTCTTTCTAAAACCTAAACTCCAGGCCCGATTGCTCAAAAGCTGGATAGCGCCATATTCACAGGATAAATCACTACACAGCGGATAAGTTAGGGAAACTAATTTCGCTATCCACTGGTTAGAGATTTATCCAGTAAATATTAGCAGACACTATATCCACCATTTGAACAACTAAGGCCAGAGTCGTAGATTTTGAATGCGAAATCACATGTCAACTTTGTACTAATCGCAAAGCAAATAGCGGAACACTGAATTAATACATCCAAACTTTGGAAAATATGCAAAAAACGCAATTTTTGTTCGTTTTTTGTTTTCCTCTTTTGTCTTTCAAAACAAACATTAAGCGTTTTGCTTCAGTAAGTCTTTTAAGTACTCATAATGCCGAGTCATGTCTAGGTGACTGCATAAAGGAGTAATAGCAGTCGATCAACAAGTATGGGGTCGGATTATGTGCTCCTTCGTCGGCAAAATAAGTTACGCCAGTGTTGTATTTTCGTTACAATAGTTGGAATTGTCGCGTTAATCTGCCTTTCTGTTGGAATAGCCCTTATAGTTCAAGATAAAAAACGTGAAGACTGCGAGCCACGAAAAGCGGAATCACAGGCTAAACCAGATCAGTGTCAATATTCAGAAGAGGCCAAAAGAGTCAAACTTGAAGATTTCTTGCAGAAAGCACAGGCGAAATATTATGAGCTTAATCCTCATAAGATCGCACTCAAGCCGGGGGTTAAACCGGATGAGATTCGTACCAAATACCGCTCCTACGACCCATCACCAGCAAACATCAAACGGATCACAGATGAAGCCCTAAAGATCGCTAAAAATCTTGAAAATATGAAAATAGACATGAACAAACTGACGCTGCGAGAAAAGCGAGCTGTGTCCCAGATATTGCACTGGACCAAACATGGCTTCCCGTTCATGGTACCTTACTTGTACAACTACTATGTCGGTGACTGGATGATGGGAGGAGATATATTTTGCTGGAGTCCCATATGTATTGTTCCTGATGAAGTCAAGGCATCCTTAGGGCATTTCAAGAGCTCGACAGTCAGAGAAATGGAGATTCTTAGAGACAAACTCAAAGAAATAAAACATACTTTTGATCGGTTTGTGGAGAACATGAAGTTAGGTGTATCCGCTGGCATGGTTCGCACAATGACAGAATGCAAGGCTGCATTGGACGCTTTCAAGGATAAATTCAGGAATGTCGCCAATAATGGTCCAAAAGGTAAGGATTTTTTTAAATAAAAGTTTAAAAAGTTCAGTTCTTTGAGTGTCATCAAAATTAAATACTGTACTTCAAACCCTACGCTAAAACTATGTTTTTCATAGTTTCAGCGTAGTTTGACTATCAATTTTCTTTGTCTCTAATACCCTAATCACACATAAAGTTATCTTTGAATGATTAAGGATAGAAGACCTACAGCCTAGGAAATTGAAGTTTTTATGCTAGAGACGTTTAAGTCGTCTAGACGCATTTAACGTCTGAGACGTTAACGTCCTCTGTTAAGTGCGTCGTTCAAACCGGCTAACAGAAGACGTTGAAGTCATCAGACGTTAAATGCGTTTCTCTTATTTACCGTTTTTATACTAGACGTTAAGGTCGTCTTCAGACGACTTTAACGTCTCTAGCATAAAAACGGTTATTACTCATTCCCGTGTAATTAAGAATCAAACAGGTTGAAAGCATTTTAACCCAAGTTTTTTATTTGGACTGCAACATAAATCAGTTGCCAAAACAAAAAGCTTTATTACAGGAATAATAATTGTGTGGTCACACACATTGATTTCCACACGCACACACACACACAAAAAAAAACAATGAAAATTAAACAACTATCATTATCATATCTAAGCCGCCGCTTTTTCGTGACAGAGCTGTTTCGTTTAAATGTACATAACGTAGTCATCATGCAGCCAAAAGCCGCTATCTTTTTCCTATTTGCACCGTTTTTGTCATAAGTAAGAGCGAGTTTGTGATTGTGTTGCTATTTTGAAGTCATGCCTGCGTGACCAGAGACTAGGACTTCATTGTTGTGAGCTTTTGATACATTTTTTAGCTTGATAATATTAATACTCAAGACAGCGGGGTCTTTTTGTCTTCCATGGTCTGACGCACTACAGCCAACATCATTGAGGAGAAATAATTAAGTCCAATAGCTTTCAATAGCTCAGTTAGGTAGCTTCTTTATCATTAGAATAACCGCACCTTTAGAAGCTCGAAAGTAAAACAAATAACAACAATTTCAATAAACTCAGTTTATAAATCTAAATTTTAGAAGTCATACGCCGTGGTCTTTACATTTATACAGGAATCTATAAAGCAAGCTTCTTAAAGCCGTTGCTCGATGAAAGCTTTATCTCAGACATAAAGAATAACAGAGACTGGCCAGCAAAGTATCAAAAGTCTGTCAACGAGTCCCTTTATGAATTCATTCTGGATTATGTTGGCAAACCAATTGATGATATGCTCAGGTAAGGTGTTTAACTAGTATCTACAGGTCCGTTTTGTAAAGTAATTTCCAAAGATCCATGGAGCCTGTAGTGCGGTGCAACTTTTCTTTGGGGTGCAGGGGCGAATTGTTGTGGACGATTCACAGGAAGGCAGAGAAGTGGATGAAAGGGAGTGCTCGCACTTTGAGTGGCGCAAATTTAGTTTTCAAGTTTATGAAAGACTTACAATCGATCTTTAAAAGACCGCTTAGCCTGATGTGCCAACAGTGCTTCTCTAGAATACTAGGCCATTTGCACTAAGGCGTCATGTGACATCGTTTTTATGAAAATGAAAGTTACATGATTTTGCTTTGCCTTCGAAAAACGATTAGTGGGGCATATCCTAAACAACATAAAAGTGATTTGGTTTTTCAAACCCGCAACATTTTCTTTACAAGAGTAAGCTCGTCGCTGGTCAGGTGACCAAATGTGATTTTGCAAATTACGAATTACCTCTTTCTGAACACAAATTTTGCACTTAAACTTCAAGGGAAAAGTTGAAAAAATGATGTGGTAATGTTTACAGCACATCTGAACGTAACTATCAAGAGTTTAACAAGGTTTAAGCCAGAAGTAGTTTTGGCCGCCATGTTGGAGGGCAAGAGTATGTCCTCCAACATGGCGGCCAATACAAATCATATTACTTTGTTGAAAAATCAAAGTGCCATAAAATATCTCCCTTAAATGCTTTTCCTCTCAAATTTCGGTTGTAAGATAATTTTTATGTGCTTTGCTAATTTTTGGCATCAGCAGCCTAAATTCCAACTCATTATTTAAAGGAAGCATTGGTCACGTGACCACTTAGTGCAAGTGGCCTGTTCCCTTTAACTTTTATGTACTTACGGTGGCCATTCCTTAATATACGAAACGCGCGCATTCCTTGATCCATGAGCTAATCCATAACCAAAATCAAGCTTGACTGTACCAGCAGCGGATTTGATAAAACGAGGATAATTCAGACGATAAGCGGCCTCGTGTATTTTTTGTGAAAAAAAAATTGTTATCAGTAATTCGACTTATTTCCTTTTCGAGTACTTGAACACTGGACTACTGCCCTTTTCACTTTCCTCATCAGTCTTCCTCTGCTTTTAAGATCAAAGATGGATGGCACCTATACGAAAAAAAATACTGAGTGTTCGTTGGATGGAAAAGCCGCCAGCACTAGCAGCAGTTTCTGTGCATATAAGTTTTGTACTGTAAACATGATTCCTGCACCTTCTATGGAGAAGCAACGGAAAACCTGGTTCACCTGTTTTGGAGCTTTTAGCCTTTGGGAAAGACTGCTATCAATGGATAATGCAAAACACCTCCAAAGTAGAAAAATTCACCTCTCAGGAACTCTCTTACTTCGTTTAATTAACAATGTAAACATAATTTTCTTACTGTTGATTAATAATAGGTAGCTCAAAGATTTAAGAGGAGTATTGTAATAGCCTCTCATTTGAAACACTTCATCAATAGTAATGAGGGGACTGATTGGTTTAAAGGCTACTCCTAATTCTTATAGTTCTGTCATTTCTAATATTACAAATACATATTAAAGAGACCTAGATCTTTAACAGATTACTTGCGCCAAGATAATGAATCGTCTTTGTAGGTACATAGAGGGAGATCACCTACAGAACTGTGCACCGGACACCGTCTCCACAGGATTTGGTAGCTTGCCGCTAAGTTACGTTTACGTCAATGGAAGACAAACCGGTACAGTGACCACTGGAAAACTTCCCACGGGGGAGACACTGAATGGAAAGGACTCCTACATAAAATTACTTCAGCATTTTACCACCACTTCTGAAACGCCGGATGAGATTTACAAGCTTGGTGAGGAAATGCTCAATAAGCTGTATCCCGAGGTACGTCTAGCACCGGCGTCAGGTTTTTTCCAAGGTTTATTTAGTATTTACCAAAACAGTGAATAGTAATTTCCGCGCGTTTTGATTGACTCCCATAACTCGGAATACCCTTCGCGACAGCAGTGAGCTTACAAAACAGGAAGGCAGACTACAGCAAAATGTTTGTGTGTGACAAGCTTTACAGGGCTATTACTTGCGATATTTTTCGTGATCTCCACTTAACAATACTACGTTCTGGTTCATTGAAAAATGATCGCTTAAGATGAAAGTAAATTTTGGCGGGAATTTTTTTCAAACATAATTATTGTCATGCTTGTCACACAAGCTTTGTTATCTTCTTTCATCCACCTTTCTTTTGACCCCGGCGCACACAAATGTTTACCAGTTAGGCTAGTGGCTAGGTCAGTGTAAAATTGTGCAATTTATAGCCTTTTTTCTTTTAATTCTCTATTCGGGCGGACCCTTGCATGGGTCCTTGAGGTCTCGTTCCTGCTTACCACTTTGGGTCTACAACTTTTTTTTTCTTTTATTCTCATTTTTTCTTTCTTTTTTTCTTCAAAAAGTTTCTGCGTAATTATGTATAAGGTAATGAAACCAATACAGCATAAAAATAGTTCTCGAACCATACGCTTTCCAATCCTTGTGCGGTGGCTAATCTACCTTATCAACTCACAGTTGACAAAACCAAACCCTTTATGAATTATGAAAGCGCTCGCTGACATCTCTAATTCTTTAAACAGGTCGTAGACTTAGCCAAGAATATCACCAAGGAAAGTGATGAGAACACAGCAAAACAGAAGTTTAAGACACTGATCAACAGTGCCAACCAGTTCTACAACGATGGAATCATACCGGCAAATGAATCTGACGCTAACGCACACAAGATGTGCAGTGACTTAAAGGGTTCACAAATGTATTGTCCTAAAAGGACCGCGGCGATGAAAAAATGGCAATCCCACGCTAAAGATGTAAGCAAGTAGAAATCAATTTGAATGCTACATACCGTATTTATTCGATTAACCGCCCTGGGCGCTTATTAAATTTTTGGACCTTGAGAGTGGGCGCTTATTCGAGGTGGGCGCTTATTCGAGGCTGGGCGCTTATTAAATTTTCACCATTTTCAGCAAGTGAAGTATGTTTATTTTGCAACAAAACAATAAATGCTAATAACAAAACGCGAAGAAGTAACAAAGCAAGGTTTCTGTAAAATATCAAGAAAACTTTCCTCACTCTGTTAGAATTTATTCACTCAAAAAAATTTGAGTTTGATTGGGTGAGGAGGGGGTGGGCGCTTATTCGAGGCTGGGCGCTTATTAACTTTTTCTGCCATTAGGATGGGCGCTTATTCGAGGTGGGCGCTAATTCGAGGTTGGGCGCTTACTCGAATAAATACGGTATGTGTTTTCACTCTGTTCTATTAAAAAAAGAATTTATGTCAGTGCCACTGTATTTAGAATTAAATTACTTAATCACTACTTGAGGGCACTATTTTTACTTCTCCTACTGGGGATGGGACCACCGTGATCCCCCTATTTTGCGACCCAGCCTCAGGAATCGAACCAGCGACCTCCCACTCTACAGTCATGCCTTGACCGTAGGGCTCGGAGATCTCTGCTGACTCTGGAAATGTGGAGGCATAAAAAGAGTAGGATATAAAACATTTAAAGAGATATGTAAAATTAACCTCTTTTATTGGCTTTTTTATTAATTTTTTCAGATTCTAGCCACTCTACATTACGAAATAGCAGGCCTGTTTTATTATACCGGACCTTACAAGTCCACTCCAAGCTGTCCAGTAAAAATTGCTATCGACTTCAATCCAGCCAGTGCAGTGCCCTTCTACCAATCCTCGAATGCCAAATGCTCCAAAGTAGCTGCCTATTATATGCCATTCTTTTTAGATAAGCCTGGACCTAAGTATGAAACGGTCTCACTGGCGGCGCACGAAGCAAGGCCTGGGCACCATACTCAGGTCAGTGCTGAGACTCTCCTATCACCAATTTATAAGTAGGACGTCAACCTCGATCTGAGGGATTTCCCTTTAAAGCCCTGGGAACGAAATTACGCAGATGTGTTTGCAGTTTCAAATTAATTGTTTATCAGATTTTTCATTTTTGACATATTTTTCCCAAAGTCACGATCAGCGGACTCGGAGTACATACTTTTCTATGACATACAGTGAGCAATTTGTTTTCTGAAATATCTCTATGCTTGCTTTCTTAACTCAGGGGCCCATAACCCGGAGCGAGCAACTCCCATACTAGGCCTATGTCACGGCGCTTTTACGGACCAGTTTATTTTTAGACACATTTTAGGGCACTTTTTCCCGCGAAAATAGAATTTCCACTACGACTATGAGCGCATTCGAAGTATAACATATCAAAAAGGAAAACTAAACGTTATTAAAAAGCATTTTTAGGTCTGTACGTTTTGCTGACTAGTTCGTGGAATTTAAAAGATATTCAAAATTCGCGCTAAAACCGTTCTAAAAATAATGTGGTCCGTGAAAACGTCGTGACAAAAGCGCATAGAACTTACTTGTTATGGGCTCCTGCTTAACTATTATAAAATGACGATACCAAGACCAAGACATGAAAAAGTTTGCCTTCAAGTCGTGTTTTTACAATAAGAAATAATAACTGTTGTTGCTGTTGTTGTGTTTTTGATCACAGGTGCAGGGCTACATCGAAAACTTTATAGAGCCATGTGAAGGACCCATAAGCTGGATCGCTTCCAGCACACTTTACCTGTCATTTTCAGAGGGCTGGGCACTTTACTCAGAAAATCCAATTGTCCCTGATTATACCAAATTGTACGAAGCTGATCCAATAAGCAAATATGGGATGTTAAAATGGCAGGTATAAATAGTCAGTATTCATGTTCATGCGAAATGACTGTTTGTTTGCTTTACGTTTTACCCCACTTTAGGGTGACATGACTTTTTTTCTAGTTTGTCACATATTGTCGTCCATATCATCTCAGAAATGAGCTATACTATCCATGAATTTTGTTAAAAATTAGTCTGTCTCCTTTAATACGGTAGTACATTTTCACTAACACCGGATAATATCTTGTATTATTTCCAAAATTAGAAAGCGAGGAAGTACCAGTTTCTGCATATTTGGATCAAATTCCAGTGGAACCAGGGATTTAAATATTTTATACTACTACATGAGAAATTTCTGCAATTTGATCGGCTTAGAGCAGTGGTATTTCAGCTTAATTTAAAATACCTATATGTGAAAATTCCAAACCTTTCGTAGGTAATAGTATAAACAAATAATGACATGCGTGATATTTGGCATAAATACTACTCGTGATATTTCAAAATTGTCTCAAGTTTCACTCGCCTAACGGCTCGTGAAATTACGTATAACAATTTCGAAATATCCCTCCTGGTATTTATGCCAAATATCACTACAAATCATGCTATTACCTATACTAACTGAAAAAAGCAACTGACAAGTTTAAAATATGTATTACGATTTATTCCTGGTTGATTTTGAAATCAACTCGACTGCTGAGCATAAACGATTAAAAAAAAACAGTTTCGGTTACTCAAAGAGAAAAAGGTAGCCGGGAAAGGAATCCAGAACTTTCGAATTATACGATCTAAAGTTACAAAAGATTAAAAATTTTTTACAGGTTTGGAGAGTGTTACGCCTGATGATGGACACAGGCCTTCATTACAAGGGAAAGTCACGTGCCTGGGCGTTGCAGATGTTTGAAGAGTACGCATGGGATACAAGTGACGTGGCTTCAAAGGAGGTGACTCGTTACCAGAGCCTTCCTGGACAAGCTGTCACTTATATGCTTGGACAGTTGTTTATTATTCGATTAAAAAAGAGAGCACAGGAGGCTCTTAAGGAAAAATTCAACATCAAAGATTTTCATTATCAGGTAATTTATGGTCGAGCAAGTTAGGTCAGATTGTAAATGTTACTCTAAGCTTGCTTCTCATAATAATAAGGCTGTAGTAGTATTGTAGTACCCGAATTATTCTCTTTTCTTGGCGAGTGGACCAGTCAGCGCCGGGGAAAGCATGGGAAAACATTTAAACGTCGTTGAGGATATAGTCTACTATCTCGCTAATTAACGTTTGGAAAAAAAACAATTAAACGATTTTATTGGTTTGTCAATGGTTTCATCTATTGCAAGAACTCAATAAAACTTGCTTATTCACGTAAAAGTTGAAGTGATTTTCACTAAAGTACGACCACACGATTAGTAAAGAGGCTACAGAAAATTAGACCATGACAATATCATTTTCCAGCATTAATGAAGTTTTCTCAAAACTTATATGGCAAGATCCCTAAATGTTTCGTATAAGGATTCATTCAGCAGTTTATTTCCATTGAATCAACTAAAATTTCTTTGTTCTTTGTTGCTTAGATCCTACGCCAAGGTCCGTCACCTCTTAGTTACCTAGAGGAGAGTATCAACAAGTACATTGCCTGTGTGAAGAACAAAAACGAGAAAGATTGTGATGAGGTTATGAATCCTCCATTCCGGGATCAGTCTGGCGGATCACAAAATAATCATGTAGATATGTTAAGTCAAGTGAGTGTTTCTCCGTGGGTTATGTGACCGATCTTCATGCAAACCGATGGAGTGAGATACTTGAACATACTACTCATTATTTTTAGACCAAACTGAGGCCCTAAGGGCCGAAAAAAATTTTCGCGATAAATCAGTTTCTCGATCTCCCTCTATCTAGATACTTAAACATTTCTAAAACGTTTTAAACATTTTATGAATGCAATAATCAAGTAAGAAGGCAAAGAAAGCCACAAAGTGGCCCAAATGTATTGCACCCCACTCACTATGCACAAGTATAAAAGGCACTGAATAACTTGTCCAAATCAATTTGTGTTAAAATACAACAGAATGCAGACAAGTTGGCTTATTAGCAAGGGCACCCAATGGTTCTGCTCCTCAAATGATGTGTTCTTCACGCAAATTTGTGCTGGCTCGGAGATTTGGGAAAAATAATACGTCCTTGAAAGGAAAGTGTTCCTGGAAAGTAGACAATTCAGGGTGTCTGAAGGGAGTTGATGTCAAGAGTAGCAGCTATGTGCTATATGTCAATATGTCAGTAACTTCTTCCCCCACCCTCTCGCCCCCCCACTGAAGGGGTCAATATCCGCCATTAGGCAACACCTTGGCAACACCCAATTTCTCAGAACCACCCCTGACTCGTCCCCGGTCGTCTCACATTACTAGTATTTGGCGTGGAAGACTAGAACGGGCTCTTTAACGAAGGGGATGACGGAAAGAAAGAAGGGAGAAGGGAAAGACGACATCTTCCCTCCTCTCGCCTTCCCATCAAACATTTATGCAGATGGATGGAATCAATAGAGAGGAACAGATCCGTGATTAATAGTTTGGCAGTGTCATAGAGCTGTCTAAAAACTAGGAAACCTGCGGGGGAAAAAATTGCTATTATCATCACTAAAAACCTTACAAGACCTAACTTTAAATAGTACTGTCAGTTATACCTAGTTGCTACGAAAGATGTTGCGGAGTGGTGTTAAAACATTTCGGAAATCCCCTGATCAGATTAGGGAAACTGAAAGTGAGAAAGAACTAGAGGGAACTAATAAAGATACGTTAACCCTACGATGAAAGCAGATGAAAATGAGCCTGCTGGACATCGCTTGAATGAAAGGTAGATAATTTAAAATGCAAGGCTAAGGTTAGAAAGGTAACTTACAGGATCTTAGATGAATAGTTACTAAATTCGAAACAACAGTAACGACCACCATCTCTCGTAAGCGACTAACCAACTTCGTCTCTAAAGCAGACAGTTTTGCCACTGAAAGTACAATAACTGGGGTGTATAACTGGAACTTCTTGCCGAGCGATCGCCACGAAGTTTTTTTTTCCATTGTTTTCAACCTGCCATAAGTGGCCATTAACTTAACATACGGTCTGATCTACATACGTGTAACTTATTTTCTCACCCTATTTTTCATTTTTTTAACTCGTTATTCATATTGAGAGAAGTGTGACGTCACGTTACCAAGGTAGCAAAACTTTTGTATCACAACAATAGCGAGCTTAGACAACGACGACGGCAAGGGTAACGGCAACGAGATTGACAAAAAAAGATATCGGTTTATTTTAGCAAAACAACAACTTTGCCGAGCCCAAACTTTTTTGTACATTTCTTAGCCGTCGTTGCACGACTGCAACATGAAACTTGTTAGTCTCATGCGCCCTCTGTATGGAGTACATGAACACAATACGAACACAAAAAATGTTCTTTTTCTTTTTCTAAACTTAGATACGGTCCTTTCGGATTCAACCCAAGAAAATTTCGCAACCATTTGACAAATTAAATTAAACTGAATAAGATCGATAAAGCTTGCAACAGAAGTTTTCGGTTTGTTGTCATCTAGAAATGTTGCTACCATGGCAACGTGACGTAACGACTTCTCCTCTCTCTTTCAATGAGACAACGCCCACCAGGTTATTGTGTATTGGGGGATTGATTGTATTTCTCTAGCTCTAGTCTCAAACGCCCTAATAATAGCTTAAATTAGGCAATGACATATTTTATGACAATAGTCGATACAAATCGCCAGGATGCTTCATTTGCCAGATATGGACAAGGAAAAACTAGCTTGCAAAGGAAACGGCCTCAAATGGCATATATTATTTATTTTCTGTTTTTATTACGGTCGTTGTTTACTAGGCATTAAGGCATTACCTAGCTTTTCACACACTCCCCTTGCATTTTAAATTCTCTATTTTCCTGACCATCTGTTTCTTATTTCGATCAATTCTGTACCCTATTGCAATTGACCTAAGATGCTTGTTAGACTTAACAGCATTATATTTATAATTAAAATACTTTGAAGGAATGATGATAATGCTGAACCTCCTGCTCAACATTCTGCTTACTCAGCATACTGCCCTGTTTCGCTGGAGCTCGCAGAATTTCATCACAATCTGGATGACTCAAGGCATTTTGTACACAGCTTATATACTTCCGAATGCTATCTTTGAGATACTTCAGAGGAGAAGGACCACGCCTTAACACCTAAATAGATAGAGATACAAAGGAGAAACTATACATGAAGTAAAATAAAGGAAGAGCAGTTATTCAGTGGATATTTTTTAACTATTTTTTTAGTTAATCAATAGGCCTTATGCACTAGTTGATCACGGGGTCAACTTTCTGTAAACACGAAAATAGTTCGCTTTTGGAAAATTTTGTTAGCAGGACCTGAAAAAAAATTAGGTAACCTGTTAATTTTCAGCAATATAGCTCAAAAGTAGCGTTTACAAGGGCCGCCGAAAATTAGAAGGATTTGTATGAGAAAAACAGCTCTTGTCACCCTGTCACGCTTCAGTGGTTTTCGGTACAAATCCTTGGAAATTTTGAAATTTCTCAACTAACGTAAGCTCTTTCCTTTTCGCATTTAAGGACTCAAACTACCCGTTACGAATAAAAAGGAGACTGGATCCCCGTAATTCTTAAGGAAAGGTGTTACCACAGTTTGAAAAATTGAAATTTACAAGGATTTGTATGGAAAACCACTTAAGCGTGACTTGGTGGAGAGTTGTTTTTCCACACAAATCCTTCTAATTTTCGCCTGAAAATTTAAAGGTTACATTTTTTTGAACTGCTCTTTCAGTTCGTGTTGATATTTAGTTTTAAAGATAAATCTTAAACCAAGACTGTTCGATGAACTATACGAAACCTAACATTTTTAATCAATCCATGACGCGTTTTTATTTCTGAACTCGTTTTTAACGAGCAATAATTCACGTTCACCATACTCTGGGGTCATTGGAAACTAGAAACGACGTCACAGCGTCTCTCTAAAAGTAAATTAAAATTAACCTGAAAGTGAAAGTCCTTGGAATTGAATTTTGTTCCCAGTGCTTTTTCTGCTTCTTCTCTTAGCTCCATGATTGACAGTTGCCCAAGCGTGTACGTCACAGCCTGTCCCGGGATGCTTTGATAGCGTGTCACTTCTTTAACGACTTTGTCACTAGTGTCCCAAGCATAATCGGCAAAAATCTGTAAAGCCCAGTCACGTGACTTGCCTTTGAAATGCAGTCCCGTGTCGACTATTAACCGCAAGGCGCGCCAAATCTGAAGCGATTGAAAAAATATGAAGCTATTGATATAATAATAAATACAATAATTAATATCACTCTATCATAAAGATATATACACACATTAAAAGAGGCAAAAGCAACAAAAGTCTTCTAAGAAAGGTTGAGAGGTACGTAGGAGCTATATACTGAGAATATCGCTGTTTTAGAGAGTGTTTTAGGTCAATTATGTTCTGAAGTCATTACTTAGTACATTTACCTATACAAAAAAATGCTCCTGTTTATTCAAGAAGAAGCCATTCAACATAATTATTTAATCAGGGAGTATTTAACAATAATAGTTTTTTCGGTCGTTTTCTCAGGTATAACATTAAAACTTGAAAACGTCGGCCCAATTTTTTTTTAAGTTATAATCCATGTCCATCCTTGCTGATGCGACGTACAATGTAGTTTTTTAAAAAGATGGCAAATAGCGTGAGGCACCCCCGTCAAGGGGCAAAATCGTACCCAACTTAACTGCCTTTATTTGGGTTTCTCACAAACTCAACGTTAGAAGAATTAACGTTTTGTAGCGCAAGTTAAATGAAGAGGCAATAAGTTCGTTGCCCTTCCTAACTAAGGTAGATATTAATGAAAATGCAATACCTGCCACTTCAGCATGCCATACTTGGTCAGCGGATCATCATCGTAGGTGTCCGTGTATTTTGATATCAGCGGACTTTCGGCGTAAAGAGCCCATCCTTCAGAAAACTCCAGGAAAAAGGTGTTACGCTGAATCCACGAAATAGGGTCCAAACAGCTGTCCTGAAAGTGCTCTACATATCCTTGGCTCTAAAATAAATTAAAAATTTAAATGTCTCTTGTCCTAATTTTACGTTGCTGGAAATGATCAGGATTGTTGGTTAGAAAAGCAGTCACTATAGCGAGGATTCCGAGGGTGTCCGAAAAATACAAGTCTGAATGCATAGAGTTCAATTACAGTAATAACACTTTGCAGTGAACCGAGCATTCAGCTATCTTTTCAGAAGTACAACCGCGAAATCAGAGCCAAAAAAAACAAATACGTTTCCTTTGTGCAAGAGACAAATTAATTTCCTCAATAAAGTTTCGAGAACAGAGAGGAAATGAGAGGAAACTAGGAAATATATATATTTTTTATTTAACCCACCTGTGTGTAGTGTCCTGGCCTCGCCTCGTGAGCGTTTATGGTCCATTCCTCATTCTTGGGCCCAGGTCTTTGCATAAAGAATGGTATAGTATACACTGGAGGCTTGGAGCAAACAGAGTCACTTTCTTGAAAGGTTGGTGCAGCAGAAGATGGATTGAAGTTTGGAATGAGCTCAACAGGACAGTTTGGAGTGGACTGGTACGAGCCAGTAAAATGAAACATATCAATGGTCTTCGGGTCAAGTGTGGCCATAATCTATAAAATGAACCACAATCAGAGTCAGTTATAAAAAGACATTTCTTTTTTCTTAAGCTGTGTGGTATTTAGACAAGCTCCTCAGAGGCAGGAGGGAGAAAAATTTACTCAGCGTTCAAAAACCTTATCGTTATGTCAATTCATAACGATGTGTTGTGAAGCTTGCTATGCCTAATAAAGAAGTAATTTCCTTTCATCGAGAGGTGTACTTTTGAACGTTTTGTTAAGCCATCCTCCTCTTAGGAGAACAATTTTGTCAAGGCAACAGATAAAAAGTGGAGGCGCGTGTGAACGAGCCGCTAACACCTCGAACTCCAGATCTGGAGGACTGGAGTTCAAATCTCGTCCGTCGTTTTTTCTCCTTAGACAAGAATTTTTACTCCACTTTGTCTCCTTTCACCCAAGGCTTAGTAGTTCAACCGTTGGATAGCACTATCCACAGGATAAAAATCTATCCAGCATGGATAACGCAGTTGTTTTCCCAAATACTCATCCGCTGCATATTGATTTATCCGGTGGATAGCGCTATCCAACATTTGAACAACCAGGGCCAGGTGTATAACTGGGTAACGGCGACATACTGCTTGGGGGCAGGGAAGGGGTGGGGAGTTAACCCTGCGATGGACTAGCGTACCGTCTAGGGAGGAGAATACTCCTAGGCATGCTTCATGCTAAGGAAACCAGGTAAGCTTCGGCCGTTTGAACCTTTGGCTCGTACCTGCCTTAACCTTTTTTTACATATAAATAGGGCAAAGGCTCGCCCCACGTACAAGATGCTTCTTATAACCAACATAACACTGAAAATTAGAATGAGTAACATATAGCCAACCAGGGATACATGACCCGGGGTACGATCTTCTACACTGTACGCTGTCATGGCGTTTCCTTTTTGAGGGGGAGAAAGACTAAAAAAAACACAAACCAAACTCGAATAATATTTTCGACATTCCGATAACATTTAGTTTACTTAGATTTGCTCCTTTTCATTTAACACACTACCTTCGACTTTTCCGGAAGAAAACGCTTTAAATCGTGTCTTAATATCTACTGGTCTGTACAAATGTGTTGACATAGATTTGGTTTCAGAGTTGACTGAGTTAATCACTCCCTTTTATGTCTTTTATCGACACCTTAGTTATCCTAGAGATTTTACCTCTCGAGCATGCGCAAACCAATTTTGCATGGCATTCCAGCGGATTGGGCAGTACTTCTTTGCACCACTAATTGAACTGCACAACTTGTAGGCACTTTCATTGGATTCACTCACTGGAATTTCTTGCTCGTTATAAAACATTTCTGATCGGTTCAATATTTTAATGAACTTTTCCTTTGCAGTTTGAGTATTGTTTTCAAGGGTGACGTGTCGCGTCAAGTTTAGAACCTTATAAAAAAGAGAGAATGTTACACTGTCAGATGAACATTTTCCTTATATAATTACTAAATAAAACAACTGATGAGATGATGATGATGATGATGATAACATTTCTCAGTGACAGGAGTGATGAAGACCATGATTAGGATGATGGGGATGATGTTAAACGACGATAATGGTGAAGACGATGATGATGATGGTAGTGGTAGTGGTGGTGGTGGTGTGATGTTGATGATGATGATGGTACGGTGATGATGATAATGATGATCATGGCAAAGATAATGTTAAAGATGATGACGATGACGATGACTACGACGATGATGATGATGACGATGACGATGACGATGACGATGACGATGACGATGACGATGACGATGACGATGACGATGACGATGACGATGACGATGACGATGACGATGACGATGACGATGACGATGACGATGACGATGACGATGACGATGATGATGATGATGATGATGATGATGATGACCACGGCAAAGATGATGATAATTAGCCCTTGGAGCCCCTGTGGTCATGAAGATGATGATGATGACAAGGATCAGAATGATGGTATATAATTATTTACCGACGTGCTGTATGTTCATCATATTTTACAGTATTCTCAATAGGTCTCAATACTAAAATCTACTTATAAAATTATATTGGGGTATGGTTAATTCCTTACCTCTGGATAACTTCGATTTATGATTGACCAACCTAGTCGGTAGATTTCATCGGGGGTCTTCTCGGTAGTGGTAAAGTATTGCAGAAGCTTTAGATAAGTTGTCTTCCCGTTGAGTTTTTCGCCTGTGGGGAGACGTTTTGATGTCTTTTGACTGGTCTTTTTGCCGTGAATGTAAACATAGTCCAACGGTAATGTGGCTAAACCGCTAGATATGTTACTTGGGACGCAATACTGTGAATGTTCCTTTTCGACGTACCTAGAATATAAGAGAACTGAGAATCGGTTTTATACTGTTATTTTATATCTAGCTCGATTTTAAATAACAACGCCACTGCTAAAATAGACCTCTCCCGTAAAGCAGTTTTTTTTTGTTCAAAATGTTCAAAGTAGCTAAGATAATAACTACCTTGTAAGAGTGCTACTACTGTTTATTTCTTTTTTATTCTTTCTTTCTCCTGCTCGCTCTATCTATTTTTTCCCTCTCTTTTCTTTCTTAGTGCGATTTTCGCAGGGCTTATCGGATCCAAGAAAGTATCCCTATTAATTTAGGGGATCCACAACTCTCATTTCATTGCCGTGACTGCTTCGCAATCCCAACCCAGTTACCGCAAGCATAAAGCATCATATGGTACCTGAAAGCAGTTAACAGTTTCGTTGAGATGAAATTCCAATGGGCCCTAACCACCCGTAAAAATATCCCCAGGCTAGCTCTAATCGGCCTTTGAACAATTGGGCCTCCAGGTGACAGCAACATCAACTTCAAGCTCGAAATCATTTCCGTTGCATACAATTACTTAGAAGAAGACAGTATCTTCCTTCTTATCAACTTACCTCAAAACGTGATGAATGGGTTTACCAACGTACTCAATGACCCACTGCTTCAACGACTCGTTCACTGATTTGCCATGTGCCATTATCCACATGTCTAATTCTTTTTCCTTCATCAAGGACAGAAAATCATCGGCGAGAATTTTCTTCATGAAGTAAGCGTCAAGTATTCCTGTGAGTTTAAGATGGCACGAGTTACATTACAAATTTTAAAGGCTTTCTCAACTCTTTTCTATGACTCCAATATTTATACATTTCCGATATAGACTACACATCGGGAAACGCCCTCAGAAGATCCTCACAGAGCCTCACATTTCTTACCTAGGGTGGAGATGAGTGGACAGGCACGTCATAATAGTATTATTTATTATACTTAAGTTATTCCTTTAATTTTTTTGTAAAAAAATCTTACTGATGGTACAATAAAGATTGTTGCTGCTGTAGTAGTTGGTTGACTTTATAATTACGCTGTCTTATTTTTTGCCAAAGGTTTGGAAACTTAACTTAGGCTTCTTAACACGAGCCTGGTTGATCTGGCTGGCCCGCCTTCTGAGATCTCATGTTCAGGGCTCAAGTGGAGAGGCCCTTAGACCCTTAAAATACCTCATGACAAAAATACATGGTAGAATATTTATTTTTTAACACGGGTACCATTTCATTATAATAGGCCATATAAGCGAAGGTGAGATGCGTGGCCAAGAAGGTCGAACTATATCCTGGGCGGGGCGGAGACAGACAGAGGTTATAAGTAGTGCTGCAATTTGAAAAGTGCAAATCAGTTCCAATTTAGTTCATCTCTCGCAAAATCACATAACGTATTTTTAAAAGGTTTTTCTTGTAACCATTTTTTAAATACATATTTCTTTTTTTGCACAAAGACGCAAAGCTCAGGTGTTAGAGTGATTTCCAATTGACCAACGTTCTTCATTCGAATAAACAGTTGAGATAAAAATGTGACGTTATCACCCTCAAAGTCTGCTCATAAAAATGATTACATGTTACGTCACTATTAAGTGTTACACGCAAAATATTATTTTGATAGGAAGATTAATAAAGTATGCACAGAAACTATATATTTATACTTTTTACTTCAGCGCCCGGGTTTACCTTGATTCTGCCAGTCAAACGCGAAAATACTTTTTAGTTAATCAGATGAACCCATTGCCAGGTGTCAATTTGCGGTGACCGTTTCAGATGGCTAAATTTCACAAAAAGAGAGAATTTATTTGCTTGACAATTTTTATGAACGGATTAAACAATGAACTTGACTGACTCTCATGATGTACGAAGGTGGTGAAAAAAATTGTTCTCTCTGTGGTCAATACTACTTACATTCGGAAGATGTCAATTTTTTATATGACTTCTATTGTTCAAAGGGCACTTCCTTTTCCTTATACTCGTACTTTTAATAATAAGAAACTGCTGAGACTGACTAACAGTGCGAAAACAACTTTTTACAACGGTAAAACAATTCATGAATGCATTTCAGTGTTGCTTTATTACTTCACTTTGTTTGTGAACTAAAGTGCAAACCGGACGTACAGTATACTCCAGGCCGCAGGCAGCTGTTCAATTGTAGTCCTTCAATATCATTATTGCTACTGAGTTGACATTATTCAATTAATATTTCCTGCAACATTGTTCCTCATTTCCTAGTGAATAGCCCATGATTCCTCTTCAGTGAAAGAAAATATTTTGATAAGTAAAATAATTTCATTTTTTGGTTCTGTCTTTCCCCCTTTATCATTCAATTCTTATCTCACTGCTAAAGATAAGAAATGTCCGTTCCCTTTCTTATTTTCCACATATAAACCCTTGCTATGATATTTCCTAGAGAGACATTATCCTCTCTTGCATTGAACTGTGCAGAACAAACAAATTTGTTGAACAATGCTTTGCGCAGGATCTGAATTACGCAGACCAAGATTAAGCTTTTGCACTTTGTGTAACTGAAACATTGAACCTCAAAAAAGGTCCCTGTGCTTTAACTGAATGGTTAGTAAAAGTAAACGTATTCACCTGTTCTTTATTTTGTAGAAAAAAAATCGTTAACTGAAAAAAACATAAATTAAGGAACTCAAAATAAGGAATAAGTTCTGGCAATATCTTCTCAAAAAACTACAGTAGTTGACGTTACATTAATATGCTAAGTCAACTTTACCCCTTATTAAACATTCAAATCATCGTCACTTGTATTTTTTCCTGCCTTGATCATTCAGAACACTCACCGGGGGAACTTGATAATAAAGAATCTTATAATTTGTTTTCGGCTACTTGTAGCTCTTAGACTAACTAATAATTCGAATTGTGCGGGATAATCAGTAGATATCGGTAAAATAAACGATTGCTTATTGCAAAAAGAAGAGGAGAAAAAGCAGTATTTTTTTCTGACTGCACAACTTTGTATCAAAACTGCAGAAGCAAAACTGAAATAACATCCTCAAAAGTGACTGCGTTAAGTGAAAAGCAAATATTTATGCTACCGTACTATAAGGGGAAAGCTCGTTTGGAAATGTAGATAAGTATATCACCCTGCCGAAGAATGGCTGTTTGCTTGCCCCACGTCCATCTCATAACATATCGTCGTGCAAGTTCCAACAAATCTATAACTATAACCTTATAGATGTTTTTTTGTTGTTGTCGTTGTTGTTGTTTTTTTTTTTTTTGCGAACGAAGGCGTTCTTCCTTAATTCAGTCTTTTTCGGTTATATCACTCGTGTTGCCCTCAATGGCCAATAATAAACGATAAGTAGCATATATGACAATTATTTAATCATGTTAACTAGGGTAAATACTTATTCCCCTTACCTGATGGTCCTTTAATATCGATATCCCTGAACGCTCCTCTCAGTCCGTCAAAACCTGCCTTGCATTCTTCAACGGTACGAACCATTCCACTTGCAACCCCCAACTTCATGTTTTCAACGAACTGTGCAAATGTCTCGTTGATTTCCATCAGTTTTTCTCTAACAGTCTCCATTTCCTCCACCGTCGAAGGCTGAAAATGAGGCAGAGCTTTGTCGACGTCCAGAGGCAAAAAGCAAATTGAAGACCAGCAGAAAATATTTGGGCCCATCAGCCAGTCGCCAGAATAGTAATCATAAGCGAAAGGGACGCCATAGGGAAACATATGCCTCATCCAATGGGATAACTGAGCCTTGGCACGCTTTTCTCGCAGATTCAGTTTGTTCTCTTTGATATCCATGTTTTCGAGTCGTTTGGTCAGCTTGACAATCTCATCTGTGACAAATTTGATTCGCGCCGGAGTTGAATCGTAGCTTCTGTAACGTTGCCGGATTTCATTTGGGGTCACGCCCGGCTTAAAAGCGATCTTGTGCGGTAAAAGCTCATAAAATTTTTCTTGCGCTTCGAGCAAAAACCTTTCTAGCCCCGAGCGTCTAGCTTCTGCTGAGTATCCACAATCAAGGTTAATTGCTCGAGCAACTTTAAGTGGTGGGCACTGCAATGTGTCCTTTTTCGTATTTGCCCTTACCATGAGTACAATTCCAGCGACAAGACAAGCGATACCGCCTGTTATCAGCGCCCCAATAACAATAGATTCTAACCTTGTACGCCTTCGCGCTTTTAAGGAGACATCTTGGTAGTGAAGCGCCATTTCGATATCCGCATGAAATGAAAAAGAAATCTTTTAACATAACTTCTTACCCCGGGGTAAATTCGAGGAGCCTTCAGTCGGAAATGGCTCTTGAAGTACCACTCTAGAAAACAGTCCTTGACCAAGTGCAATTAATGATTGGCTTCTTATGAAGTTTAAAACCAATCAGACTATCCAACTCGTGTCCGGTCTTTTCATTTTTGTATTTTTCATTAGCAAAGACTTTTCGATATATAACACTTGGCGTGCTATAAGGGATGTTGTTGACTTTTTCATTTAATAGATATGGAAATTTGTCACTTCACAGTGGAGCGCATGAGAGGCAATCTACAATTGTAAACAGGCAAAGTAAATATATTGTTTCACGTTCATTCACGGCTTTATGGGCAATTCTCAAGTCAAGAGCACTAAAATCCTTAAATACGCACTTAAAGAAATTAACGAGATAGATAAAAACTGATTTGCAAAAACATTTAGAAAAAAAAATCAAAACTCAAAATCAAAGTGCGCAACTTAAAATGCCGCCCAAAACATGCGGTTAAAAAAAAAAAACAGTTTCGTGTATTTAGTGAACCACTTATGAGGGCTGCGAAAACCCAGTAAAATCATTAACACAGATAAAGTATAGTTTATTGATTCCTCTGTGATGGGAACAAGACTAAATAATGGATGTTTTTTTTTATTAGTTAACGTGGCTTTTCTTTGAGCCAGCTTGTGCTCAGTACTTAGCAAAATCCAATAGGAAACCCAACTGAGAAATTGGAAGATTTTCACCGCTTGCTTTTCCTTTAGAATTTCTACGCCTTTGAAATCAAGTCTTTGAAGCAATATGATGACTTTTAAAGAGGGCTTTAGATTTTGGAGGATCACGTCTTTTTCCCCCAACTATGCATATTTATAAGTTGACAGTTCAATCTACGAAAGTAATAAGGTTGGAACTGAGAAAATATTTTTTTCCGAATCCGTTTACCTTAAATATGCCCCCTGCACTGTTAGAGACACCATCAGTTAACGTTCAAAGACATCTTTGACGCTCAACTTGAGCAGGAGAAAGTTAACTTCGAGGCATAACAAATATGCCCGGTTTGGTCAAACAGACTTGAGATACAAGCAAAACTTATTAATTATGACTAGATAAGAATAATTTGTATTGTATCTATCTTGTCCCACTATCCACCTGGAAATGTTGTGAGGTTGTTAAGCGTCTTCTCCAAAGCTTTTTCACCCAAAATAAAGTCTTGTAATACCCCCAGAACAAGGGGAAGCAAGGGGTGGAAAGATTCCGAAATTTTCGAAGTTTTGCCTTTTGCGCATGGGCGATCTTTGACACCTGTGTTTTTGCACCAGGAACGTTCTGGTAGCTTCGCGTCGATTTGGCTAGGCAGTGACCAGAAAAATGCTTGACTAGCTTCCCAACTATCACTATAATGTAGTCCAATATTTAAAATGAGAAGCCGAAATGTGGATAATTAGTTTTATTACTCTTTTGATAAACCTTTGCCCACAGAATGCCACAGAAAAGAAACAGACTTGCGTTCCCTTTGTTTAACAGTCCCATACCTTAATCACACGCTGTGGTATGTTGTCTAACTTCTGCAAAGTTAAGTAGCATGTACACAAAAGTGCGTGGAGCCGCTTGTACCGTACAACAGGAAATAATACTTATTTCCACACAGGTTTTAATTAGAATGACTTTCCCTACTTGTTTAGGCATCCAGGCTTGGAAACAACAGATATCCTGTATCATTTCTAAAGCATGAGCTTCTTCTTTCTCAGATTCTGTAACACCAATCTTGCAAACCAAAATCATATTTGGGGTCCTTTTCATCACAATGTCCTCTGCTTTTTAAACACGTACAGCTGCTGTACATCTTCTTATTGAAGTTAATATATACTTTCACAGCCAGTATACTCTACATGTGTGAACGTTCTAGAGGAGTTAGACTGTAATAAAAGGCCAGCATCTTAAAAGGCCAGTTTTTTAATCAACAGGTATATATGGTTGTCCACTTCCATTCCGTGTAAGTTGTTTGCGTCACCTTGAAGTCTCATGAGCAGTCCTCCAAATGAAACATATGCAGCTCTGTATTACAAGAAAAAGTAACAAGCTTCAACTTAAAATAAGTTCAACATACCTGTTGTAACAATAATTATTGCCGTTATTTAGCAAATACAATGCACATAATGATAGAGCAGGAAAGCATGTTCAGCTCATGAGAAAGGGGCCTAGCCTGCTCACAGACATTTTTCTTTTCTTTTCTCCTCCACAATTTGGTGTGTGCTTAAGTGATACAACAGTGAGCACAGAGCCCAAGAAAAAAAACTCTATTTTCTACTTTCCCTACCCCCTCCCCTCTGTTTGCCTTGGGGTCAATAAATCTCCTGTGGTTTACATTTTCATACGAGCACTCGACAGTCTCTAAAGAGAAAATAGTTAGTCTGTGAAAAGGCTAAGAGATCCTCAAATTGAACACAATTTTTCATGGCCCTACAGGCCTCGGTTTGGCCTTTCAATAAGGTGAGCCCCCAGGAACTCCTCCCCTAGATCTGCCATATGGGTCAGTATGGGTGGTGACTCAACAAGTCAAGTTAATGGATGCTAAATCTTAGAAAACTTTATTAATTTGAAAAAATACTCTGTACAAATATCAGCATGCCATGTCTACGTGTATACCATTCCCACTCCTTTAATCACAAGTTTGATAATTAAATCCAATTTTGAACAAAAAACAACCAAATCTGCACCTAAAATGCCAAATCTGGTAAAACAGATGGCAATAGATATAAATGTATTTACTTACTAAATAGCATCCAGCTGATGTGCTAGACTACATTACATTCTTTAATTTTGAAGTAGTTTGTTTACATAACCTCAAGTTGCCTTTTTTTTCAAGGTTGTTTACAATATTGCCAGTACAAAATAGAAGATCCCTATATTGACAGAGAATTGGTAAATGACCTGGGGCATTATCCGCAAAAAAAACTGAATTGAGCTGTGCAGTAAAATTATTGCATACTTACAATCTGGTTGGAGCATCCATTGCACCATCATCTCCTTCTATTCTGTAGACTTTACCATACATAACATATTCAAACTGATCAGCGCGAGAAAGACTGGTATCTGAGGGATTGTAATCTCCATCATCAGGGGTACCGTCTTCTTTTAGAGTATTGGCTAGAACAAGTCGAAATTTTTCACCATAATCCACTGGGTAGATCTGAGTATTTACATCAAGTATGAGGTCCATCTTAAAACTTTCACTTTCACAATGAAGTCGAGACACTGGATGGGAAAGAAAACAGCAACACTCTTTAAAACTTCATGCCAATTTTAGAGATTTCATAATTGGGCAAAACTGCTGGATTTTATATCCTGAAGGCTCACTTTATTCCTACCGAAATTCCCTTCGAGAGTGACCAAAAGTGCTCAGTTTTAACTTGGCTGCAAAAAGGTGAGATTTTACTGTGGAAAAGCCAGAAGCAGATTAACAAGAATGAAACAATAGACTAATATTAAACTGCTCTGGGCCAAGAAGTTGCAAACTATCCTTTCGTTCTAAATCTGTCAATGGCAGCTTCAAAAATTATTGCATGATTATCGCAGAGTTCATGGATTAAAGTCTTTCATAAAACTTCTTAGATTACTATACGTTTTTTTTTCTAAACAGAGCATTTTGAAATTACAAAAACAGATCTTAACTGAGAAATGTTGACCACTGTAGACCAAGATTCCATTTTTTTCCTTCGAAGGTTTCAAAGTGCAAAACAAGCTGCTGTTGGGAAGCCGTCTTTTTGCCACGTGTATTGTTTTTTAAGATAAACTGACCAATGAGGTATGGGACTCTGCAATGATTTTTGGCCGTGTATGAAGTCACATAACTAAAATGCCCGGGTATCAATCATGGGTTTCATTGTTTTTAACAACAATTAATGTGATGCAAAAAAAAGTCAGTGAAGTTTTCACTTTACTTACTCTTTGCAGTTCATTACTTCTACCCCATAATTAGCAGCCTCACATTAGTCTTGTCTACATCAGTTGTTTTGGACTATTTTTAGTAACTTGCCCATTTTCCATCTTGAGAAATTCTCAACTTAGATCTGACGCTTCCATAAACATCACTCTAAATCTCTCTAATAATTATACTTATTGTAGAGATCGAGTAGGCTCATTTTCAAAGGAGACTGGCACATGCATCCTAACACATGACAGCGCCCATCATTGAAATCTGACCGATTCCCGTAAACCGTGGAAACCAGTGTAGATCCGTGCCTAAATAGAGACTACTCTGCATTTACACTGGAGCAAAATCAGAATACCCAGCCACTTGATTGCCTTGTAGAACCGGTTTTGAGTATGAGACATAAAACAAACAGCCCCTTTATCATCAGTTCAACGAAATGCAAGCAAGCGGCCAGGTATTCTGAAGTTTAGCTCAGATACCATTAAAGTGAAACAGTGAGTGTCCAACGAAACGAAACAAGCTGTGGAGCTTTGCAAAGTTGGGACTCATAATTTACATTATTGAAAGAAAGAAGACTCAGAGGTTATACAACCAAAAGAATTTGACCATTCTTAACAATTAAATTCTTGGTTGAAACTTACCTCTTTCGAATTTTTTACCCTCAGGATCGATGTCTTTTACGTCGAAAATATCTTCAAACAAAACTCCTGCCATGTTGAACGGTCTCAGGCTGTGCGGAACAGCTATTACCAACTAGGGGAGGACTAAAGTATAAGATTACACAAGACAGATAATAGAACCTACAAAATACACAGATGACCTTTTCATCCTTTTTTTGTATAAATATGAAGTTTATTTTGTTATTATCGTATAATACCGTTAAAAACTCCTGAAAAAGTTGTTAATTTAAAAGATTATGTATTTAACACTTTAGTCTACCCTACTGGTAATTTGATTAAAAGGTCGAGTAAGCCTGGTTCTAGTCTTTCCACGTGAGAACTTCAAGATGGCGGACGAAGATGGCGACGTTTCTTCGAAATCGCACAGAAAAAAACAAGCTGGACCCAAAGCAGAAAAGAAGAAGAAGAAGAGACACTCACCCGAAGATGCAAGTGCTCAAAGAAATCCCAAAGCCTTCTCATTTAAGTCGGCCGTCCGGGCATCTCGTCAATTTCGTCGAAAACAAGATGCAGAAACAAAAAAGCACCATGAGCCTACAGTTGATCGAACACCACTAGAGCCGCCGCCTTATATCATGGCCGTGGTTGGACCACCTAAAGTGGGAAAAACAACACTCATCAATTCACTGCTCAAGAATTTTACCCGTCAGCAGCTGTCTGATGTCAAAGGTCCGGTTACTGTAGTCTCAGGTAGGTTTACCATGCCACTTATAGTTAACTTAAAAGTAAAATTAGTGCGGCCTATGGACAATATTAGTACCCAATGGATTGAACTCAAGTCTACAGTGAAACGGCCAGTGTCTATTTCAGGGCTTGAAATCACAGTAGTAGACTTGGATACTCTGTAGAGTGGCATTCACACTCCAAACTCACCTGCAGTCCAAACTCACTAGCAGATAATTTATGAATCCCCTTTCATCCCTCCCTCCTGTTACTACTACATGTACATTGAGCGTGCTCACACATGAAATACAGCTGTAGGGTGCTTTCCATTTTGCCAAACCAAACAGTCAGAAAGCGTTGGAATTATCAAGAGCAACTGGAACAACATTGTTTGATTGAAACAAAGTTTCCAATTGAACTGGAGCGTGGGTTTTGACCAAAATTTTGATTACTGGAGTACTGTAGAGTACTCTTCTGTAAATTAGGACTGGAAACAAGACGTTTTGTAAATGGAATGGAAAGTTTTGGTCGGACCGGATCGACCAACGGGGAGCACATGTGGAGGTGCACCACTTTGATTGGAAAATTTTATTTCTATTTTGATACTTTATCGGGGAAAAACTGCAGTCATGAAAGAATTAACAAGCCAGACACATGATTAAAGAAATAAAATAATGACAATGATGATAATAATAATTAAAGAAGTATTGCAGATCCTCGAAACGGCAAGTGTAAATGGTATCATAGACCCATATGCCAGGCACTGCCCTGATCTCAATTAACTTATTTTACCCTTGGAAAAAACCCTAGATGTACATTAACAGAAGTGAAAAAGGCAAAAGGAAGTGAATGTGGTAGGCACAGTCACTTCGACCTGTGACAGGGACTCGTTGTGAGGCTGTGCCGTCAACCACAACACATTGGACCTTCTCTCTCAGGCAGTTCTTAAACCATGGCACTGTATGCCCTCAGCTTGGCGAGAAGGATGTTGTGGTCGGCAGAATCAAAAGCAAAGCCTTTGCAAAGTCCAAGTAAATAATATCTGTCTGCATGTTCTTGTGTAAATATTCCCCGATTTCATGTAGAACAGTTAGAAGCTGAGTAACACAAGAATATTTCCTTAAAAACCCGTGCTTGAGATGAGTTATTACTTTCTTCAGATGATTAAAAGGAGATCGAAAACCAGTCGCTCCAGAACTTTGCTCACAATGGGCGGGAGCAAGATGGACTGAAAATTTCCTGCAGCCTCCTTTGCATTCTTTCACGGGATGGATGTTACATTGTACGTCTGCAGATTTCAATTCCTTAGGAATTTGACCTGTGCAGAGTGATTGGTTGAAGATCATGCATAAACCTGGGGTGATTTAGTGCTGCATTCCTTTATGAGCTGGGGAGGAATTCCATCAAGACCATCAGTGTTCGATGTACCTAGTCTGTTTGGACAGCTCATCACTTCCCCTACTGACACTTCAGCTTGCAAGTGTTCTGTAATAGCCATCAGCAGCACCATGAAGACTGAAGCATTCCATTTATTTCTCAACTGAAATTTCCGAAAATTTTCCCATAATGAAGAGTATGTAGTTACAGTCAAACCTCTCTATGGCAACAACATTGGGAACACAAGGTTTTGAAGTTTTGAGCAGACATAATTTATACAGATGTCATTAATTTACTTTCCTCTCCTTATTATTAGGAAAGAAAAGACGCCTTACCTTGCTGGAATGCAACAATGATATCAACTCAATGATTGATGTGGCCAAAATTGCAGATCTGGTATGTTCAAATAATATTAGAGTGAGTATAGTATTAAAAGCAGTAAATTACACTGTAAGCTCCTCTTCAATAATTATTATGATGAAAAGTGTAGCCTTTTCTTTACTCATCATTGGGTAGTCACTCAAATTCAAAGAGGGCAGTTTATCTCTTTTTTTTTGCTTTTGAATTAATAGGAATTTATTGCATGTACATGGGCCGGCAACATTTTGTGCTTTACTGAGATATGGCTAGGAACTTCAAGACCTTTTCTAGCATTAATGGTTCATTTTATTTTATAAAACAAAACAAAAAAAACAGCACAAAAAAGAACTGCAGTTAAATAGACCTTTCTTTACATTTAAGTAATTTGATTTACCCATTATTTAAATCCCAATTCTAATCTTTGTTTTAAAGAGTTAATTTTTTTGTTATATCAGGTCCTTCTTCTTATTGATGCCAGCTTTGGGTTTGAAATGGAAATTTTTGAATTTCTGAATGTCTGCCAAGTGCATGGTTTTCCCAAAATCATCGGAGTGCTGACTCACCTAGATCTGTTGAAGGACAATAAATCTCTCAAAAAGACCAAGAAGAAATTGAAAACTAGATTTTGGACTGAAGTGTACCAGGTACATAAGTTATTATACGGTTTGTTTGCAGTTCTAAATAACATTAATATGCCGTAAACTGATGTCACATGCAAACTTGAACTTCGGAGTTTTGACAGGAGATGTTAATATTTTTGTTTTTGGAGTTAGTACCTGTATACATGTATACGTCATGCATGTACAGGGTGGTACAGTTGTAAATCAGATCATGTAGGTATGTACAGTGTAAATGGTGAAAAAACAACTTTTTTCATCAATATAGAGATCATCCTCTTTGAGTTCTGTACAAGCTTCTCAAAGTACAGATATATCTCTAATTGGCAAAGTAGGGTTACCGTAATGATTGTTAGTAATATTGTAGTCAGAATTTGAATGTTGTGCTTATTGTTTTTGTTTTTTTTGTTTTTTCGTAGGGAGCAAAGTTGTTCTACTTGTCTGGTCTGGTTTATGGTTCTTATCCCAAAGTAGAGGTACACAACCTAGGCAGGTTTATTTCTGTCACTAAATTCCGACCATTGACTTGGCGTGTTTCACATCCTTATATCTTAGCAGACAGGTATGTACTACAAAAAAGACATGTTCTATGCACTGTATATTTAGTAAACCACAACAGTGTAGATGTATGCCAACATTTCATTAAAAATGACTGCATATACATAACTACAAGATCATTTTTTTTTTAGAAAAAGAATGTTGTGTTGTTCTTCCAGTAATTATCTTGGTTAGTATTGTTGTTAATGTCTCACAAGACTTACCAGTATATGTGCATGTGCAATGTACCTCCAAGAAAACAAAAAGAAACTGACCAAGCACTTAGTCCTTAGTAGCTCTCTTACTGACCATATTTGCTGTACTCACCCCATCAAATAGATTTCTTCCTTATTAGGAGTTTATGTTTTCAGAATGGAAGAGCTGTCAGACCCAGAACTGATTCGGCAAAATCCCAAGTGTGACAGGAAAGTGTCATTGTATGGATATGTAAGAGGGACTCATCTTAAGCATAACTCTAGAGTGCATATTATTGGTGAGTTGAGTGTCAATGTTAACTTGTAATAAACACACCATGATTTGAATAAAATCAGGATACATGTATAATTTTGCATCACTTAGCCTGAATTTCAGACAATAGTCCAGTTTCGAATTAAAGAAGTGAAGACGCATTTTTTACAGGCTTAGCCTCCATCTGTAGTAATATATTCACAAATTCCAATGAGAAAAGACCAGTTTATTACGCTGTCTATTGTGTATATTCAAATTTCAAACACTAGTCTTACTTGCCGGAATTTCTGAATATTTTACTTTACGTCGAGGCTAACCTTGTATAAATGTGTTGTTAATGTTTGTATTCAGCGGTAATTTTTTATTCGAAACTGGACTATTACTTCGAGTCATTTTTACTCCCTCAGTAACAGACGTTGCTGAGAGGAGAAAACGACTCAAAGTAAGCATGTGAAATTCAGGCCATGCATTACTGTGGTTAAATGCGCTTGCAAGTTAACCAATATCAATGAATATGGGACACTGTTAGTAACAATAATTGTTACGAACAGTGCCACATTTTCATTATTGTTGATAGTCTCACTTGTGTAGTGTTCATGTATAACTTTATTTTCTTACATGTTCTTGTAGGTTGTGGAGATCATACTCTCAAAGAAATAAGCCTTCTACCTGACCCATGTCCCCTTCCAAATGCTGAAAAGAAGCGTTCACTGAATGAAAAGGAACGACTTATTTATGCACCTTTGTCTGGAGTTGGAGGAGTAGTATATGACAAGGTAAAAAATATCTTAAATTATTCTTAACATGTTTACTCCTAAGATCTCTTCAAAAAATAGGCACCCAAGAGAGTGAATGTGACTACAGTGTACAATAATTATTAAGAAGTAAAGAGATAAAAATAATTTGTTATCCATTCAAAGAATGGCATTCACTGTATTCCTTTACTGTTCAAACGTATTCCCTTTAGTATACTAAACCAAAAATTGGCTCAATCATGGGATCCTTAAGTGTCTTAACCACTTTGCTGAAGGGGATCATTTTTGAGAAACATACAATTTTAAGACTCAATTGCATACTTCCAACTGGTTTTAATTCATTTTGTTTGGCCCAAACCAACAGAATGAAAAAGAACCTTACCCTTGCTAAAGAAGGATCTGCATTTATTTATGAAGCAGTTGGATTAAATGAACTACATGATATGTTCACAATAATTTAACTTCATACTGGTGCTTGCTACTTCTTTCTAGGATGCTGTGTACATTGACCTTGGTGGAAGTCAGGCTGCAAGTAAAAATTCCAAATCTTCAATACAGGTGATTTGGCATTTTCTTTTCAAAGTGTATCAAAGTGGTTACTTTATTACATTTTTGTACATTGTTGAATTACATACATCCATACAAACTTTGTTTAGCGGTAAGTGTCAAAATCTTCTAGCATGCCAAAGGAGGCCCACTAATTGGGAACACTTAAACCTAAAAATTAGTTATTGCAATACAATATTGAGATTTATCACTACAGCTAAACTAATTATTTCAAAAATTTTTAACACATAAAAATGCTAAAAGTAGTAAATACAAGATATCAGCTTCTAAAAATCCAATGCAATATCTTGTATTAACTACTTTTAGTGTTTAATACAATACATTTTAATGATAACATTATTTTATTTCAGGTGGACAGTAGACCAAGCAATGAATTAGTGTCATCTTTAATTGACACAAAGCAGACGATTGACACCAAAATGATGACTAGTCATCTAACGTTATTTAAGGTGCGTAAATTTTTCAGGTACAGTGTATGCTGTAAATTTATGTAAACTTACTTTTATGCTGTTGTAACACAAATAAAAATGTGTTGTGGTTCAATTTTATCCTTGGTTTCATTTTCATTTTCCTTTGTTTTGGGGTATGGTGATATATCATAATGAGTTTGAAGCAAAAGAAAATTAAAATTAAAGCAAGGATAAAACTGAACCACAACAAATGCTTCTTTTTGGACCTCAGACTTCAAATTCAACTTCAAGTTACAGTGTAAAGCAGTTTTTTTTAAAAACTAATAATGATAAATTTCCTTTTTAAGTGTAATTCTTAATAACTTTAGAAAATTTTGGATCAATTTAGGTTTCTGAGAAACTGCCCACCTACCCCTCCCCTAAGCCAACATTTTGCCCTAAGTGTAAATGTTAGCTTATGGGAGGGGTAGGTGGGCAGTTTTTATCCATGCACATGAATGGTAGGAGTGGGTTAGCATGAATGCAAACGTTTCTGTTACATTTGCGTTGGTTCGTTTTCTCGTACACAGAACTAGACAATATTCAGTGTCAGGATTTTCTTGAAAAGAATGTCGCTATAATTTCTTTCCTTTCAGGATGGTGCTTGTATAGCCCCGGATGAAGTTGTCGAGTAAGTGATATCTTTTTGATTACTTGCAAGAATGAACTTATCGGCCTTAATACATGTTATGAGTTGAATTTTATGGTTTACTTATAGCACATTTTAAAGGAAAAACTCTCGGGAATTTCAATTTTTCAGGGATGAAACCTTAAGACAACCTTCAGAGCTAGTTGTGACAGACGAGAATGGCCGCACAAGAAGAAGAGCTCTTTTCAAAGGTGATCAAGAGGAGGATGGTGAAACTAACAAATTAAGGGACGAAAAAAATAAGTTTCATGATGCAGATAATAGTGATGACGATGATTATGAAAATGACGATGATGATGATGATGATATAGAGGACAATTACGTCATCATGAGCGACAACGAAGATAATGACGATAGTCAAAAAGACGTTGAAATGTTTGAGGATGACGTCGACGATAAGAGTGATGATATGGACAGTGGAAGTGAAGCTGAGGAAGATGAAGAGATAGTTTTCAATTTTAAATCTAGTAAACCGAAAAAAAAGGAACAGTTGTCAAAAAAGCGGTTGACAAGCTCAAATAGGACTACAAAACGTCCGGCAGACGAAAATTCAGAAGAAGTTTCAGAACCAGACGAGAGCGACGAAGTTGATGTCTCAGGGTCTGGTGAACAGAACAATAACGATTTTAACAAACAATCATCCAGCGACTCAGAATCAGACTCAAAGATTGAAACTTCAAGGAGAAAACGAAAAATAACACATGTGTCAAATGGGAAAAACGACAATGAGCATGTTGTTAAGAAGAAGTCGAAAAAGGAAACAAAAAGTTCACGACAAAAGTTAGAAGTTCTTTCGACCGACCAAGAGAAAAGTGCCAAATTAAAGAAAAAGAAAGGGGTTGAAGGGGCAAAGCCTGAGGAAAGCATGGATAAAAAATCTAAGGAAACTATTGATAGTGAGGACGGAAATGAAGAATCTGATGCAGAGGATTTGGATGGTGAACAAGATGAGGAGGATGAGGATTCGAGTGTTGAATTACAGGAAGAAGGTATGTTGAATGGACAACTTAACTGGCCTCAGTTAAAACAGATATCTGCTTTTAACTTGATTTCTAGATGATTAATGTAGGAAGTAATTTTCCCACAGTTATCAAGCGAATAGGCGAGTGAGAGTCTTCCAGTTCAATAGATAAACACACTAACTGGCGTACTTTATGCAAACAGCGACATAAATAATCCAGTTTAAGGTAAATTAATGCATAGAATTCGTGAAATGTTTGCTTGAGGAATGGACCTCTTTGACGTGCGTAATATAGATTATAACACACTCCACTTAGCCAATAAGCTTCCAGAATTTTGTGCAGACCATCAAGCTTGTTATTAAGTATTAATAATGTCAAGTGCTATCATGGAATAAATTCCAGAAAATTTTTTTATATAACATGTCATTTAGAGCAGCGTACGTCGTTCGACCCCGAAGGTGACAACCGTTTCCCTTTTTTGGGACACCAATAAATTATGGTGGATGTCACGTCATGTATTTATTTATTTGCATGTTGTGCTTTTCCTGGTAAGCAATGCCTTTTTAGATGTTCTTCACTCAGAATCCAGGCTTATAGATCTCCGTTTTTTTAAAATCTGATTTGAAGGTTCCTTGAGGTGGAAAGAAAACTTGGCGCAGAAAGCTGCAGCAGCCTTTCTCCGTCGCCAACAAGACACTACAAACCTGCAGAAGCTTGTTTACGGCAACGGTAGGATTTGAACTTCATGACCACGGGACCCAGGAGTGAAACGGGCAGATGATAATTATTGTTGTTGTTGTTGTTGTTGTTGTTTTTCCTTTGCCTTCCCCGTCCCCACCCCTCTCCTCCCTGAATCCAAACTGTTTCAATTTTTGTGGTTTATAACAATCTCTCTCTTCCTATTCAGCTCTTGTTTCGTCCTCAGTCTCTCTCCCTTTGTTTACAGTATATCGCCTGAAATTCTTCCCAGCAGTGGAAGACGTTTTTTACATGTATTAGGATGAGCAATTAAAAACAAACTCTGCTTGCAACATGCCTCTTGAAATGTAGTTATAATGGAACCTCGATATAACGAATGGCCAAGGGACTGGCAAAAACGAAGATTTTTTTTTCCTACATTTACTATTACTGGAGCGAAAAATACCGTTATCTCGAGTACTTCGTCATATAGAGGTTCGTTATATTGAAGTTCCACTGTGTTAAGGTGTTTTTATATCTCTTCATTTTTCTTCCTTAAACATATTTTCAGTTCTTCATAAAACCAAGGAACAAGACGCAGATTCCGACAGTGATAACGACACAGTAGGAGGTATTTTCAGACTTAAGACCAAAAAAGATTCGAGACGCTTAGGAACCATGCATGAGAGAGACTGCACACTAGAGCCGGCCAGTACATCGGTGAGGGACTGGAGCCAACCGGAAGTGCTTCAGAGCATACGAGACTGTTTCGTCACTGGCAAATGGAAAGATTCTGAAGATGCTGAAGCGTTGCTTCAACACGATGATCAATGTATGAGAAGTATTTAATTATTAGAAAAATACGTTTAAAAGGCCGTGAGGAACTCACCACTCCTTATGACAGGCTTGTTTACAGGACCACCTTGTTTTCCAACTACATACTTAAAGCCGAATTGTAAAAATTAAACTTGGTGATTTTCTTATCTGTAAACCTTTTTAAAAAGGCCAGAGTTTCTTGGCCCTCGGATAGTCTTCACTCCATCGTAACAGGCGGCCTGGTTTGCCCTTATTTGAGCTGCGAAAAACTATTTTTGTACCTGAAACTTACAGTGCTTCTGGAGGTGTATTATTTTTCATGCGTAAGCATCATTAGTTTCAGTATCACTCTGTTTTAGCTTTCCATCATTAAATGTAAGGGTTGATTTTCAAATTTTCCATGTATTACGTTTCTTGTTCAGGACGTTCCTGAACGTTTACACTCCTCAGTCTTTCTAGCTTCCCTTTTACTTAGTGCTATATTGAAATGAAAGCGTCCTTGATCTGTTTTGTTGAACTGCTAGTGTTAGATGATGAAGAAATATTTGGAGACTTTGAAGATCTCGAGACCGGAGAAGTCCACAAAGCGGCTGCCAACGAAAACTCACAGGGGGAGGGCGAGGAGTCCGATGGAGACGAAACTGATGGGAAGGATCCCGAAGGAGAAGAAACTAGTAGAATTGAAAAGAAGAGGAAACAGAAAGCTGCTTTTGATGCGATGTATCCTTTCTAGCATTTTGTCGAGCATAACACTTGTTTATACTTGCGTTTATCTTCTGGGTTGAGCTTGAATGCGTGAGTTATTCCCTTAACTGTATTTAGATATGATGAAGGGGATGAAAACTCGTATTATGAAGAGCTGAAAGCGCAAATGTCAGAACAGGCGCAGGTAAAATGGTTGTATATGCGTTTTTATTATGTTGTTCTAACTTTTGAGTCTGTGGATGAAGTTCTATGCATGTTGTAACCGTTCAAATGAAACCTCTTTAGCGGTACTTTCGCATAGTACTTTTTATTCCTTAGTATTTTACAAAAAGAATTTTGAATTTTTAGAATGATTGTTTTGTGTCTGTCTTTCTGTCATCAGCTAAACCAGTCTGAGTTTCAAGACATGGACGATGAAACACGCGCGCAGTATGAAGGGTTCAGACCAGGAGTGTACGTCAGAGTGGAGGTTAGATTACTATGTTATTCCGTTCACACTATTTAGTTACTACTCTCTCTCTCTCTGCTCGGCTCGGGCGCCATGGGGGTTCCCACTGGTGCCAACAGTCGACCTCCATGTGCCAAAGTACGAATTTCGTGCAGAAGGGTGGGATTTTCTGGATTGATTAGCTTTGCAGCATAGTCGTGGAATAGAATTTTAGGTCTACCAACCCCAACATGGTCAACCAAATCGAGGTGGACCTAGAACTACATACATTGACACTATCAAGGCTAATACTGGTCTGGACAATACCAAAGAGATAAATGCAATGCTCAATCAGGACTTGTGGAAAGATAATTCCCGGCCTAAGTAAGTAAGTAAGAAAGTACGTAGGTCTTTGGGTGGTACAGAGCTTATTTAGAAATAAGGGCCCCCTAGGGGCGCCGAAGACAATGGTCCAGAAATCTCATCTGTCGGGCTTTAACTGATTGAGAAAGGAGGAGTGTTCTCGTTCTATCATGGACTACCTCGTTGCTAACATGATCAGTACGAGACACACCAAGTATGATTCTAAGGCAAAGAAATCGAGTTGACAACAAAGACCGTATGTTAGGACCCAAGACTCACAGCCATATAGAAGTTTAGTTTAGTTTGATGACTTAAATCAGCTCTACTATTTCAGCTAATTTTTTAGTCATTATTGTTCTTATTAATTTCAGTTGAGTGAGATGCCCTGTGAGTTTGTGACCAACTTTGATGCTAGATATCCCATCATTCTCGGTGGTCTTCTCTCTAGCGAGGATAAGATGGGCTTTCTCCAGGTGAGTGCACTTGAGAACACTTTCTGTGCTAATTGCTTTCACTAGTTTCGTATTCCCCCAAAAAACCTTTTTTGCGTTGTAATATCCTACCAGGCCCGTTTCAAAAAGCATCGTTGGCACAAGCGCATTCTCAAGACTCGAGATCCGCTGATCATTTCTATTGGCTGGCGCAGATTTCAGACACTTCCTATGTACTCGATCCAGGACCACAATGGCCGTCATCGTCTGCTGAAGTACACTCCAGAACACTTGCACTGTATGGCTACCTTATTTGGTACGTAGAAAATATACTTCCTCCTCGTTCGTGACCCTTGTGGTCATAACGCTCGAATCCCGCTCTGACCGCTCGCTGGATTTTTTTCTCGATAGCCATGAGTTGAACTCCTTGACAAAGCTTGTAAATACAGTCGAACTTCCAATAACTCTCTTCAATGACCACTTTATTTTGTCCTGGCGGACGGTGCATTTATTTACTCTTATTTAAACCTCGCTACAACGGCAACGGCCACTAAAGCGTGTCCCCAACTGCCAAAATAACCTCTCGACAACAGCCAGTTGCTTAGCGACTGATAAAAAAGTCAAAAATGGTCATGAAATTTGATCCGTATGACCCGTTGATGATTGTTCGCGGTAGTCGTATTTTGATTTTGTTTCATTTATACTGCCTCAGTAAGCATTAACATTTTGATTGAAAACATAATTCCACCTTTTTGTATGTTTTATCCAGTCGACATGTATATATTATTTATGACTGGATTACCATTATGGGATACAGTAAGCATTAAATTAGCACAATAAACATTTACTCATGTATTGTCATCTTACTACCTCTCCATGGCGGCCGCCTCTCCACAATGGCCTCTTTCGTCTGTCCCAAGGTGGCCCTCGTGGAGAGGTTCGACTGTAGTCAACTGGATCGTCTCCTGTCAGAAGGGATTTCGAGCGTTATTTTTGAGTTTGAAGTTTTGCACGGCCCCACTAGGCTTTGCTATAAGTACTGTCAAGGGAAATATAAAGATCTAAGTTTTTCTTTCGTGCATGAATTCGGGACCCTTTTCCCATGTCGCAATATTACGTCATTTCACCTTTGCATGTTACGTTCGTGTTAATAAAGAAGGTAAATAAAATGAACGAACGTTTTGTTACTTATCAGGACCAATCGCGCCTCCTGGCACTGGTATTCTCGCTATTCAAAGCACAGCAAGCAACGTGGTAAGAAATACTTTCTTTAGCACTGTTTGAAACGAGTTTTTTAATTAGCTTACGAGCCCTTAAAAACAATAGCGGCTGTGTTTCCAATGACCAATGAAATTAAAGGTGGCTTCAGGTTTTATCCCGCAGTGAGAAGTTGCTAATTTCGTTGATACTGTAATACAGGAATCCCGATTTCTGACTAACCCCGATTTTTCGAGTCGCCGGTGATTTAAACAGACTTGCCTTTTGCAGAATTTTTAAATAATTGGGAGTCCGCAAAGAAGGGTTATATTCTTAACCTAGTGACACACGGTTAAACGCTGGCTTTTGATCAACAAAATTATTAATGTTAAAACCTTTGTTGAACCAATGTTGAATAGTTTTATCAAGTCATTTTGAACGTTGGAAACAGGTATTCAACATGCTGAGCGTTATTGGCCCAAAATAGAGATGGACTCTATTCCACACAACAAGTTACAAACCAAAAATGCGAAATTTGTTAAGCAATAAATGTCGAACCGTGTCACACCATAGTGGTGGAGACTGGTTAACAATGCTGTGTTCACAAGAGAGTTCTGGGATATTTCTTAATTTAATTTTATTCCTATTTTTCCATTTGTAAGTTAGTCTTTTTCTCCTTCTTCGTTCTTTGTTCCACTTTGTAAATTAAATCGGAAGAGCCACGTAGTGGAGATTTAATAAAGATACTGTACTTTACTACTGGAGCTCCGTGAGCGTGAAACATCTTTTGTTTTTGGCGTACAAATTGTGACTGAATAAATAAAAGGGACAAATAATAGTAACAACACTAAACGTTGAGCACGGTCAAACCTAAAGAAGCTAACAAAATTCTCGATGATGTTGATGTCGTGATAATGTCAGTACTTTTAAGGGCCTCTTCTTATGAGCCCGGTTACCGGGATGCATTACGCCTTGGGTTCATATGAGACATTTCAGCCCAGTTTCCGAGATGAGAAAAGGTCAACGATCCTGGTGACGAGGTCTGGCGCCAAATTCGGGGAAAAAAGCAAACATGGCGAGACAAAAATTTTAACTTACTGGCCTATCATAGCTCGGGTAACTCTTAAAGCTGTATCACTGCAGTTAAATGGGATGCTTATGATATGGAAAATACTGCAGGCAATGCAAGACGATGCTATCCGGAACGCCAGAATTCATCCCGCTGTTCATCCCGGTAACCGGGGTGAAGTGTTCATATGGCAAACTTTCCAGCCCGCTTACCGAGATCTCGGAAACCGAGCCAGCCCGCCCTCTCATATGAACACATTGAAAATTTTACAAAGGATTTAGAGGTAAGGCGGGATCTCGGAAACCGGGCCAGCCCGGTCAACCGGGCTCATGTGAAGAGGTCCTAAGAAACAGAGTTCGTTTTTCATCTGGAGGTGGGGGTAAGGAACAGTTTTACCCCAGATCCACTTCTATCCCACCCCTAATAGCCAAGCGAAAGCATTACTACTTAATAAACACGAACAGGAGCTGGACATGGGTATAGCTTGTGTATGACTGTTATAGAAGTATAAAGGGAATCATGAACTGTTCCGCAGTGGCGAAGAGTTTCTAGAGCAGATAAAAACGAAAGGAAAACGATACATGAACTTTGTCTCTCTGAGCTTTTTGAAGGCCTGTTAGTAGAGAGAAAAGTTGCCTTATACAGATATCTGTATCCACCTTGCTTCAAATTTACCTCTCTTGAAGCGACAGAAATTTATCGGTTACTTACCTATTTTAGTTTTTATTCGTAGGCAGACTTTCGTATTTCAGCGACAGGTACTGTGTTGGACTTAGACAAGTCTGTGCAGCTTGTTAAGAAACTCAAGTTAACAGGAACACCCATGAAAATTTTCAAAAACACAGCCTTTGTGAAGGTAATACATTGTAATCTTTTTCAGGGTATTTTTGCTTGGCGTTGTCATATTTCCCGAGGGTATTGAAATAAACTTCATGGCTGTATGAAAAGGTGTAACTTCTGTGAGCAAAAAATATCTCCTTAATGAACTGGGTATTATGTTAATAACATACAAACATAGTTTACTCTTAAAGCAGCCAACTCTAAAGAAAGTTCGAAAACTCACAATAGAATGTATCATGACCATTGAGGTCTTCTTGGTGTATCTGTCTTCTGTGTGTGTGTCAGTGGTGGCTGTACCTAGGATGTGGAGGGGGGAGTACTTCGTATTGTACCCTGTAAGGGAAAGCTCTACCCAAAACTGGTACCATTTTCAGGCTTAAGATAAATAAGAGAATTGGGTATGCATGAGTTGTAGCATATGGAAGGGTAGACAATACTGTCATTTCGGTATTTAGAAGGGTTTAAACTTATTTTCGTATGAATGGTTGTGCAGTGGACCTTGCTTTGAAAAGAGGCTTATGACAACTCGGAAATGGGCTGTTGTTTTTGTACATGTCACAGCGCTGATTTGTAGTGTCATTTATTCATTCAATCATTCATTCAGTTTTTGTTTGTTTGTTTGTTTGATTGTTTACTCTACTTTATTTTATGCAGGGAATGTTCAACTCTGCTCTAGAGGTGGCAAAATTTGAAGGGGCTACCATACGGACTGTCAGCGGTATAAGAGGACAAGTTAAGCGTGCACTTAAGGTATGTTTACAGTATTTCATTCCGCGGCGTAGTCCGTACTTTTTGATCTGCAGTTGATCATTAACAACCTTTATCGATTATTTTTCTGTCATAGGGTTGACTTTAAACGGTCACTAATCTTTTGTTCTCTTTTAGACTCCTGAGGGCGCTTTTCGTGCAACATTTGAAGATAAAATTCTGATCAGTGGTTAGTCATTTTGTTTCGTTGTTGTCGTTGTTGTTTTTTTAAGTGGATGATTCATTTACACTGTACGAAATCCATGAGAAAGATGTTTTTTTTAGTCAGTGACACAGAAGACTGGGAAGAAAAAGTCCCTTTCGTCATTCCTCTTTTTTAAGGAGTGAGAAACCCTTGACCCTATCTATTACAAACATCTGTAAGAATTTGCGAGATTTATGCATTAAACGTGATCACTTTGTCGTTATTTTGGTTCACTAGATATAGTGTTTATAAGAACCTGGTACCCAGTGTCAGTGCCAAATTTCTACAACCCCGTGACGTCACTACTTCTGCCGCCCGATCAGAAAGAGAAATGGCAAGGCATGCGCAGTGTCGGTCAGTTGAGGAAGGATCTGGGACTCAAAGCTCCTGTGAATACTGATTCGTTGTACAAGGTTAGTCACCTCCTTTACTTGGATATACAGAGATCGTTTTCACATGACGACGGCATCGAAAACATCACTATTGAAAAAGATTCGCTGCTTTTCAAACTTGGTCGCGATTATTCCGATTGGTGTAAAATCTCAAATGTTGGTGAATTTCCCAGGAATTGAATTCTTGGGCACCGCCACCAAGTTCACGTAAGTGAAAAGCGTCTTTGCCGCCCTTGCCCTTGGCCCTCGGATGAATAAGTGTCGGCCTCGACTCCGTCGCACTCGATCGCCGCACGCGAAGAAAAAACTGGCCTCTGGTAACCAGCTAGTAACAAAGAAAGTGGACCCAGAGAAATGCTATCTCTTTCTAATGTATGTTATCGTTCATCTTACCAAATATTTACATTGCACCATAGAAGTTAAGAAAATTAATTCGGTGTACTATGAGAGTTGTGGTTTCTTCTTATTTAGGTTGATATGTAATTGTTTCGTTGTCATAAGAATTGTTAGGTTGAAGGTGATCTTTTATTTTTAATTACAGCCTGTTGAGCGCGTTACCCGACACTTTAATCCGCTCAAGATTCCCGTCAAACTTCAGAAGGAGTTGCCGTTTAAATCCAAACCAAAACTAATGAAGAAAAGAACAACACCTTCACTGGAAAGCAAACGAGCGGTTGTCATGGAACCCAAAGAGAAATCCGTAAGTAACGATTATGTAGTTTCTACAGATAGGGGGTAAAATGATTGGTTGTGAAATTGTTTTCTTGCTCATATCTATCAAAGAGTCTTTTTAATCCGCGTTCCATTTTCTGCAGGCGTTCACTTTAATGCAGCAACTCTACACCGCCAACAAAGAGAAACAGCGAAGGCGAAAGGAGAAGTTGCAGGAAAGAAGGAATGTGTTCCGCGCAGAACAGGAGAAGAAAAATGTGAAGCGATTACAGAAACAGAGAGAAGAACGAAAAAAGATCTTCCGCATGATGGGGCAAGCGGAGAAACGGAAGAAGAGGACTTAATTTGTAGGCAAAATGTCAGTGTTATCTTATGGCTCGGATTCGTGGTGATGTTTGTCGTGTTACGTGGATACCGTTTGAACATCTTCCCTGCTAGCAGAGATCTCTCACTGCAAGAGAGAAATTATAGGAAAGAGTGAGACCTCTGCCGGCCTCCGAAGTCTTCTTTCGTGTTGGCGCCGACCACATTTGTCTCCGAAACTTACTGGTTTTCAAAACTGGTTTTTGTTTAATGTGGAATGCGCTTTTCCTGTTGAGACTGCAGAGACTAGAAATTTCTGAGCCCACAGTTGTTATCGCGCAAACCGGTTCTGTAAGTTATGTCGCACGTGGCTAAAACGTTGCTGGTTGTTAAGGAAACGCCTGTGCATGCGTGATAGAAAACGCATCGGAGGCCTCCAGAGGTCTCTCTTTTTTCTCCTTCTTCTCTTGACGTGAGAGACTCACGCAGGAAATTCGAACATCAGAAAAGCTGTCTTCTTGTGAGAAACCTTCTTTTTCTTCTTCAGTTCGTTACTAGGCCAGCTATGGGTTCTCTCTTCGAACCGAACTCCGCAAGGGCAGAGTGGTTTTGGAAAACTGAATGTTGAAAACAACAACAAGGCTTAAGATGCAGAGCTGGTTTTTACAGTTTTCAACTCTGCTCAATAAAAAAAAAATTAGAAAACGCCATGTTACTGTCGTGAACTCATTTCGTAAGTGTCCCTGTCTTTAATGTTTAAATGATTGAATCAAAATGTAAGTACACTTTTTACGTATTCACTTTTTCGTTTTTTTTTTGTTTTGTTTTTTTTCCCGGTATTCGTCACTCGTTTATCGTCACTCGTTTACTTTAAAGAAGAAAAGGATATCCTCCCTTTTTCGTTTGATTTTTGTAACTCTTGTGCCCGGAGAATTCAAATACAGTACGAAATTAACTAAAAACGTACATGAAATGAAATATGTAAATGTATGGATGTGTATAAGAAAACATTGCTTAAATAAATTCACAAATCTCTCTTTTCAATTCTTGTAACTTTTAAAAGGTCAGCTATCAAAAGCGTTCTCCTTGTTTAATTTATGTCACTCTTAACAGTAAAAACAAAGGTTTCGATGTGGGTTTTCCATTTACTGAACGCCCGGGCTGAACGCTTTTTTCGCTGAATTCTTATTTTTCTTTGTTTTCTTATGCATTAGTTTGTCATGAATGTTTCTTTAGAAGACGTGCTTTTCTAGTCTTGGAAATTGTTTCCAGATAGTAAGAACGTGGAGTGTTTGCTTGAATTTATTTGCATTTCCGCTTCACAAAGTGCGTCACGTCCACATTAAAAGTTACGGCCAATTTCCCAACAATAAATCCAGTGGAGAAAAACTGAACGTTATCGATAAGATAGAAACTTAATCTTGACACTAAAACAAAACTCATTCTGAAAATCATGATCGTGTAGTCACTTAAGAGGGGAATCGAGTCTGAAACTTGTGTACCACGAATACATTTTAATCTAGTTATGTTAGTGAAGTTTCTTTGTCTGATGACAGATTTCTTGGTAAAGGCCGTGTGAATAAACTACATTTTATTGTTAGTAGTTGTATGCAGTGCGGCTTAATTGATCGTTCTTAAAAGCTTGCAATATTAATGGCGACGGTAAACAGCATTGACATTTAACGTCCGAATCATTGTATTTACTGTTTGTTTTCCTGCACAAGTTATTCTCAAAAATACAACAAAACGCGGCATCTCTATGGATTAGCCTAAGGGAAATGGCCACAGCAACAAAGTAAATAATTAATACTGGAAAAGACCGAGACTTTTCTTCATAATTTCTTCACGAGGAATCCAAGAAACCTATTCTGGAAGGTCGGACATTCAAATGTCTATATGCTGATGACTCTTGACACCGTGTTTTTGTTGTTGGTGTTGTTGTTGCTATGTTGTTATTTATTTATGTTCCTTTTTAACACGTGGATACGCGAAGCGTAGAAACGGGTTTTTGTGGGGACTGCGATATGCAAATGTGTCACTCGCTCACTCAGGTGTAGAATCTTCGTAATTGGTCGGCCCCGAACGAACCGAGTCCGACGCCATATTAGAACACGAGGCTCACTCTCGTGTTTGCGCGGTCGCTCAGTGATGTGAGCGTGGTTATTCTTTCATGTTACGCTTACGCCAAATAGATATATCCTTCATGTAATAGTAATAGATTGTTTATCTCCCTGTATACCCTGTATACCCTGTATACCCATGTATACCATGTATACCCTGTATAACCATGTATACCCTGTATACCTATGTATACCTGTATACCCTGTATACCCATGTATACCCTGTATACCCTGTATAACCATGTATACCCTGTACACCTATGTATACCTGTATACCCTGTATACCCTGTATACCCTGTATACCCATGTATACCCTGTATACCCTGTATACCTATGTGTACCCTGTATACCCTGTATACCCTGTATACGCATGTATACCCTGTATACCCTGTATACCTATGTATACCCTGTATACCCTGTATACCCATGTATACCCTGTATACCTATGTATACCTGTATACCCTGTATACCCACGTATACCCTGTATACCCTGTATAACCATGTATACCCTGTACACCTATGTATACCTGTATACCCTGTATACCCTGTATACCCTGTATACCCATGTATACCCTGTATACCCTGTATACCCATGTATACCCTGTATACCTATGTATACCCTGTATACTCTGTATACCCTGTATACCCTGTATACCCATGTATATCCTGTATACCCTGTATACCCTGTATACCCTGTGTACCCTGTATACCACGTATACTTATGTATACCCTGTATACCCTGTATACCTATGTGTACCCTGTATACCCTGTATACCCATGTATACCCTAGTATACCCTGTATACCTATGTATACCTGTATAACCTGTATACCTATGTATACCCTGTATACCTATGTATACCCTGTATACCCTGTATATACCCTGTATACCCTGTATACCCTGTATACCTATGTATACCCTGTATACCCATGTATACCCTGTATACCCTGTATACCTATGTATATACCCTGTATACCCTGTATGCCCATGTATACCCTGTATACCCCATGTATACCCTGTATACCTATGTATACCCTGTATACCCTGTATACCCTGTATACCCTGTATACCCTGTATACCTATGTATACCCTGTATACCCTGTATACCCATGTATACCCTGTATACCTATGTATACCTGTATACCCTGTATACCCTGTATACCCTGTATACCTGTATACCCTGTATACCCTGTATACCCTGTATACCCTGTATACCCTGTATACCCTGTATACCTGTATACCCTGTATACCCTGTGTATACCCTGTATACCCTGTATACCCTGTATACCCTGTATACCCTGTATACCCTGTATACCCATGTATACCCTGTATACCCTGTATGCCCTGTATGTATACCCTGTATACCCTGTATACCCTGTATACCCTGTATACCTGTATACCTGTATACCTGTACCCTGTATACCCTGTATACCTATGTATACCCTGTATACCCTGTATACCCTGTGTATGCCTGTATACCCTGTATACCCTGTATACCCTGTATACCCTGTATACCCATGTATACCCTGTACCCATGTATTACCCTGTATACCCATGTATACCCTGTATACCTATGTATACCCTGTATACCCTGTATACCCATGTATACCCTGTATACCCTGTATACCCATGTATACCCTGTATACCTATGTATACCCTGTATACCTATGTATACCCTGTATACCCTGTATACCCTGTATACCCTGTATACCCATGTATACCCTGTATACCCATGTATACCCTGTATACACTGTATACCCTTGTATACCCTGTATACCCTGTATACCTATGTATACCCTGTATACCCTGTATACCCTGTATACCCTGTATACCTATGTATACCCTGTATACCCTGTATACCTATGTATACCCTGTATACCCTGTATACCCATGTATACCCTGTATACCCATGTATACCCTGTATACCTATGTATACCCTGTATACCCTGTATACCCTGTATACCGTGTATACACTGTATACCCATGTATACCCTGTATACCCATACATACCCTTGTATACCCTGTATACCCTGTATACCCTGTATACCCATGTATACCCTGTATACCCATGTATACCCTGTATACCTATGTATACCCTGTATACCTATGTATACCCTGTATACCCTGTATACCCATGTATACCCTGTATACCATGTATACCCATGTATACCATGTATACCTATGTATACCCTGTATACCCTGTATACCCTGTATACCCATGTATACCCTGTATACCCTGTATACCCTGTTTACCCTGTATACTTATGTATACCCTGTATACCCTGTATACCTATGTATACCCTGTATACCCATGTATACCCATGTATACCCTGTATACCCATGTATACCCTGTATACCCATGTATACCCTGTATACCCTGTATACCCATGTGCTCCCTGTATACCCTGTCTACCCTGTATACTCATGTCTACCCTGTATACCCTGTATACCCTGCATTCCTTGTGTTCCCATGTATACTTATGTACTCCCTGTATATCCATGTATACACTGTATACCCTGTGTGCCCGGTATACCCTGTCTACCCTTTAGTAAAAAAATCATGTTTGATATACAAAATAAATCTTTTATGTAAACAATTTAATATTGAAAATAAATCAGTTACTTTAAAAAAAAAACCCTTCTGCTTTCCTACAGTTTGTCAGTACATTTTAAAAACCACCAAGTTAATCTGATAAGTGCAAACAAAAAACTAAACTTCTACTCCACCTATACAAACGAAAAAAAGTACTCTGAATTCATTTAGCATATCAGGAAGCCTGAACATAAACGCATCGCCTTCAAATTTAAGATAGGAAATCACAAATCTGAAAGATTTACAATCCGCAAAACTCCCGAAGACCTAAGAATTTGTGATCACTGCAGTCTAAATTGTTGAAAGTTAAATACACCTATTATTTCATTGGTCCTTAAAAAGTCTCTTTTCACTAAAATGAATGACGAAATACGTTATTTACAAATTAAAATACTAATGATAAAATCTGTTTTCTTTTTAATATTAATACTGCGCAAGCTTACTGCTACCTTCGTCTTCCAAGCATGTGAGAGACGAAAGAAGAATAATGATAATAATAATCGATAAATTATCCCATTCTATTATATCTGTAACTCCTTTGCAATCTTCGTCTTGATATTATTGTATTTCAGTGTACCGGTAACACCATGTTAAAAAATATATAGTAATACTAAATAAACTTGTTGTTGTTGTTGTATTCTTTGTATTTCCTTTATCTTTCCATTTTCAAGAGCAATATCCTATAAATGCGATATCACAGGGCGACGTCAGTCATTAAATTGACAGATGATGACAATAGAGGGTCATTTGATAAGGTAGAATTCGTAGCCCTTTAATTATTGCTATCATATCATTTTATTTAATTCTACTCATGTTTCTAGAAAATTTATTTTAATTAGGGAAATGATCGCCAGGGTGAAATTGTCGAAGAATATGTTGGGATTTAATTTTAGGGATATTTATCCATTTGTCGTTTTATTGTTGTTTTGGTTCTGTAGTATTTTAAATGAATAAGATCATTAAACAACATCGATCTAATAGTTAGCATTTCATCATCGATTTGTATATATTTACGTTTTACTAACATTTCAACGAATTTCATAATGTTTTATCCTCAACGAACTATTTCATTAAGGAGGCTGACGACCACCACACCTTTTAGCCTAAAACTGAATGACGAATAGTTTCAAAACCCTCGTTTGCTGTGTTAGCAAGTTTTTAAGATTAAAAGGCTCTTCATATTCAATTCTACTTTCTAAGCCAAACTTTTCTTATTTCCTCAACCTTCAGTAAACTAGAATTTGAAACTGTAGTTTGGCATAAATTTTCAACCTAGCGAGTTGCATCTTGTTCGGAATCTTGTATTGTATTCAACTCTTCAGGACTTCAGGACTTTTCAATTTCTCAAATTTTTGCACGAACAAAGAAACCGTACTTAATTCCACATTCTTTTATTTTTTGGGTTCGGTTCAGCTGCAAAGCGCCTACTTTTCGCCTAAACGACGGTATTTGTCTGTGGGAACATTCTCTCTATCGTCTGCACTAAATAGAGCTCAGCTGAGAGCTGCAGTGCTTGTAAACACTTAGTCACTTGAATTTCCACCCTTGAGCTGAACCGACTATGAAGAATACCGGAAGCTTAACTGACAACCGTACGTCCTACTTTGAACCCACTTTAACGATCTGTCCCGTAGAAAAATTGTCTAGATATTTAAACAGATTTCTCCAATCCTGAGTATCAGATGAAATATGTGGACAGCAGTGAAGAGTGATATGTTAGCTCGGAAGGTTAACCTCGGTTTATCTGTCAACTTGTGCCCTTCCCAGGGGAATTCTTATTGATTTTTCATAGCAGTAACATTTGTATTAGTTGGGAACAAAAACCCAGAAAGGTAAAGAAAAGAGTGATAACACAATTCGCCCAGAAATTGGCATACTCCTCGTCAAACTACCCCATTCCATACACTCTAGGCCACGTAAGAGAGGCTCAGTATGTAACCCGCAAAGGATACGCGAGGACAAACTGGTTAGTGTGTACGTACTCTTATCTTAGTTAGTAGAGGAGACTAATTAGGAAACCCGGCAAACATCAAAGTTGAAAACAATGGTGCTGTAGGTTATGTTGGAAGCACCCTGACCGTGCACAATTCTTTTTTTTTCCCTTTGCAGAGTACTATACTGTTTTGAGGTCTATGTAAGTTATGTATGTTTTATGTAATTTGCATCCTTCAAAGTCAAACCCTGTTTCCTCTTTTGATGTCCAAACCACCCATGCGGAGAAATTTTAAGAGTTATAAGAAGTTGATATTATGCAGTAAACATCTAAAGTCGGTGGCCTTGGTAAATCACAATAAATTGAGCGATAAAGTTATTGTGAATTACCTAATTGTTTATCAGTTTAGCCTACTTCGGAATTTACATTGCCTTAGCCAATAATGTAACGCCGGACCAAATAATGAGTAATTAAAATAATAAGTAATTAAAAGTTTCATCTGATGAGGATAAAGGCTGTCCTTAATCAAAAATGCGAAAACTGTGTACTTAGCAATGGTCGGATGAGCTCATTCAAGCAATTTCTTTCGGACTCAAAGGGGAGTTAGGCAAGCCTGTCCCCTTTCCCCATATTTGTTTATTCTTGCTGCGGAGATCTTGGCCAAGACCGTCCGAAACAACAAGGGCATAACAGGTTTTTCTCTGGGTAATGACGAAGTTAAGATAAGCCAACACGCTGATGATACCACTCTTGTCTTAGACGGTTGAGAGAAATCCCTTATACCAGCAATACAAAGTTTAGATGATTTTTGTCAGATCTCCGGCCTCAAGTTAAACGATAGCACAACGGAAGCCCTTTGGATCGGTTCTAAGTGAATTACAACGAAAAAACTGAAAACATTAGGAATCTTTTGAGTTGCTGGAAATATTGCAGGCTCACGTTGTTAGGGAAAATTACTGTCCTTAACTCACTGACCGCATCACAACTGGTATACTTGCTCTTCCCTTTTACGCTCAAATCATTACGCTACAAAGGAAATAAATGACATGTTTTACCATTTTCTATGGAATGGTGAAGGTGACAAAATCAAGAGAAAAGTTATGATCAATGAACCTGAGTATGGAGGTCTGAAGATGATTAACCTTTATCCTTTCAACAAATGTCTTAAAACAACATGGGTTAAAAAGTACTTGGACGCTACTTAAAACGGAAAATGGAATGTTATCTTTGAGCTATAACTGGAGAACTACGGCCGCGATCTCATTTTCCGTGGTAATCTCAACCGTTGAGACTCAACGTCTCTGACACTATGAAAGACATTAGGGCAACGGACCCCGTAACTAAAGAAAAATTGGAATATTGGAAAGAAATAAACTTTGTGGATAAAG